TAAAGGTTAGTCTTGTAAATAGTACTATTAGGGAAGTAGACAATATCCTATAGCCTCTATCTGTTATAGATCCTTACAAGGAGCCTTTAAAGGCAGTTCTTGTTGCTGTCTTTAGGTACAAAAAGCTAGCGCTGTACACTTAGGTAAATAGTAAGGCAGTTATTTTTATGTTTTTTATTAGTTAAGAGTTTTACTTCTAGAGAAATGTTATGTCCTACACACAGTTTCTAATCTACTCTGTGTAGGCTATAACTATCTATAAGTTACAAGGCTTAAGTCTAGACAAAGCAGTTATTTATATTAGTAGCAAAAAAGATTATGCACTAGGTCTTATATATGTTATAGTTTTTTATATTAAGTTGCTAAATAGGTTAATGTTTAATAAGCATTTCTCTTTAGATTATTTAAAAAGTAGTAATTTAGAAACTATAAAAAAGTAAAATGTAAATATGCAGCAAAGAATGCAGCAGTTAGTTACAGTAGCAGACTGTAATTTTTAACCTGTTTATCTAATACTTGTCTAATACCTCCTCTACTATTATATTATGTCTGTATGCTTAGTAATTTATAAACTAATTTATAGCACAATATATTACTTTTATTAGTATAATAGACATAACGTACCTAACGGGTTGGCCGGCCACACAGGTTGGCCGGCCACTTTTGCCAAGCCCCTACTAAAACCACCCTATTCTCTCACAAAACAGCCCACTTTAGCCCTGTATAGAGTAATACAACATAAGATATTATTTAGAGTCTACTTCTACTACTTACTTACATGTACGCAAGTTATGCCTAGTTTAATTGCACTACCTGCATTGCCTTTAACTTAGCTTACCTCTTTTAGCGCGCACCTGCGTCTTTAGCTTTTTCCTATTACTACGCGCTTTAAACTCCTTTAGAGTAGTTAGACAAGCCTTATTCTTAACTATTAAAGTCTTTTTTGCCTAAATCTACTTTCTTTTATGCAATCTATGTTACGTGGCAGCCTTATTTGCTGCTTAAAGCTCTATAATTTTATAGCCTACTCTATTATGTTAATGCCCTAGATAACTATTGTCTACTTCTTATTACCTTACTATATTGCCTTTAGCTATTTTTGTCTCTCTAAAGCTGTAATAACTGCTCTAGTTAATATCTAGCCTATTATAAAGCTTAACTTATTAAAGTTATACCTGTCTTTATTCTAGATACTATACTTAGCTTTTATGTTAGCTACTAGGCAAAACTAGCCCTAGATAACCTCTAGATCCTTATAAAGCGCTCTCTTATAATTATACTTATAATTAAACTTTATTATAAACTTAGGGCAGTGCTTAACCTACATACTAGTCTAGTTTAAGCTAACCTAGCCTAGATTACACTCTGCAGGCAAAGAATTAGCTATATTAGCTACAGCTGCAAGCCTAAAGGGAAATCTGCGTGTAATAAGCTTAAGTATATACTTAACAACTACTTTTTTCTTAAGCTTAGTTAGATTCCTTAATTTAGGCTAGCATTCTGCTTGTAAAGGCTGTCTAGCGCGTTAATTGCTTAGTGTTGTGTGAGAGACATTATAGATAGCTGCAGCGCGTTGCAAGGAGAGTTTTAAGTCTTGTTTAAGAGCCTAAAAAGCAAGCTATATCTAACGTTTTTTAGAAGATTTAATCTAGTGTTGTTGTTAAGGCATTATGTAGATAGGTAGAGGTTAGTGGGGGCTTGGCAAAAGTGGCCGGCCAACCCGTGTGGCCGGCTAACCTGTTAGGTACGTTAACATAAATTAGAGTTTATAAATTAGAGATTACAACAGTTAGATATAAGTATAGACTCTATATTTAAGTTATTATAGCTTATTTAAAGTCTTAGGGTTATTCCCTTTCTACTGCTAGTGCTTTTCTAGCTTAAGCATCTTAATAAACTAGGTTAAATCTACAGGCACAACACTGTCTCTACTTTAAATAGTATTTAGTAAGTATTTTGCATCCTCTGTCTTAAACTAGTAAGTTTAGAATAAAGTCTAATATCTAAATACTATAATTAGTGTGTGTCTAATACCTTATCTAATACTAAACTTACTTTAGATTATTAAGAAATTTATTATTATAAAGTTTTAAAAAACTAATGCTCTTATTCTAGGCTGCTAATTAAATATTAGCAGTAAAAAAGTAACTACCTAATTATATAACATATAATACTATTAGAATTGCCTGTTTAGCCCTTAAAAAGAGAAGCTTAAAAAAAGAAATTAGCAGTTAAAAAAGCTTATTAATAGTAATAAGCTTATAAAAAGCTATAGGGGTAAAATTAAATGCTAGCTTAATAAATGTAGACTACACTTATTAGTTATGTAGTTAAAGACTTTTCTAGAAACTTACTTAGCACTAGCAGTCTTAAACATTGTTAGCAATGTACAGTAGATACCTAGAAAAGCCTAGACACATCTAGTTTAGGTAGCGCTGTGAGGTATTAAACAGGTATTAGGCGTAGCAGCTAGAATGTACTTACATAGAAAATAGTATTACTTATATATAAGATATACACGCTAAAGTTATACATCTTAAGGAAACTTGTCTTTTTGTCTACACTAGCAACTGCATCTACTAGTATAGCTTTAATATATCTTTATTAGCAAAGTTTATTTGCTACTTCTATGTCTATTATTAGCACTTTAGCTTGCATTAGTGCTCTAGCTTGTAGACTAAGATTATTTATAGGCTTAGGGCTATTAACATCTATAGGTCCTGTATCTATAGATTCCTTATCTAGTTAGTAGTGTTAAGGAGGCATAAACTTTTTTAGTAGGTTAAAGAGCCTAGTTTGCTAGATAAAAAATGCATGTTTATTACTAAATTTACTAAGGTCTGCACTACATATAATTACTTTTTAGCTATAGTGTTTACCTTTCTTAAATTTATAACATATTAGCTGCTGTCTAATACCTGTCTAATACTATATTAACTTACTAAAGTGCTGTTGCTATGTTTTTAGACTAAATGCGTAGTTGCAACTCTAGTTTAAACTTTTTATTAACATTACATTTAGCATTTAAAAGATGCTAAACTGCTAGGCAGAACTTATTACTTTAAAATTTAGAATAGTACATATTAGTTATAATATAGTCTAGGTTATATTAGGCATTTTCTTTAGTAAGCTAAGTTTGTCTTTTAAAATTTCTTATAGTAAAAGCATTTATTAAGTATTTTAATAAGCTTTTTTTACACTTTGCTATAGTTGCGTAGTAGTAATAAATAGGTAATAGATAGCTTAGTAAGAGTTTAAATAGTGTTACATAAAACTAATAAACAAAGTTTATAGTAGTATAGTTAAGGTTGTAAAATTAAGGTTATAATAAAGGCTTAAAAAACTAAATTTTTAAAGTAAATAAAAGTAATTATGTTATTTAGGCAGCATCTATACTATGTAGGCTGTTGCTAAGGTGACAGGCAAAACAGCAGTAAGCTATTTAAAAAAATTATATTTCTTTTAAAAATGTTACTTTTACTTATTTTACTATAATGCGTCTAATACTATGTCTAATACTACTTTATATACTAGTTTAAGAGTATTCTACACATAAATTATAAGAGTTAGTTATGTAAAAGTTTATATAATTATCTACTATAATAAAAATGTAGTAGGAGAGTAAAAGTAGCAGTAAAAATCTAAGTAAGTTTATAAAAGTAAAAGTATAGCTTAAAAGTTTGCTATTTAACTTTTAAAACTTTTTTACTTATACTTTTAATATAACTTACTGCGCAATTACTCTACTACTTTATTACACTTTTTATAAGCTTTTATTTACTTTTAAAGCTGTTTTTATGCTAATATTATAGCTTAGTAACATGTTGCATAGCTTTTTTACTTTATTATAATATTTACTTTATTAAAAATGTCTTGCTCTTAACCTGTTTATGTTAATGCTACTAAGAATAGTATAATTATAGTATTAGACATAGTAATAGACACTGCTAATGCATTATAGCTCTCTCTAGGAAGAAGGCTATTACTACTAAAGCTTCTTATAAAGCTCCTGTTTCTAGGCCTAATAAAGGCAAACACTTTTCTAAAAAGCTTGCAGTTCTAAAGAGTTTACATCTAAGGTGTGCTAATTTACCGCCCTTAGAGCGTGTTATGTATAAGAAGACTAGCATTTAGGTTCTAGCTTAAAAAGGAACTAGTAAGGGCTAGAAGCTTAAAAAGAATAAAAGTTTATTAAATTTTATTTTTACTATCTAATACTTATTACTAACTATAAATAGTTGCACTTTTTTAGCAGATTAAGTTCTATTAGTCTAAATAACATAATACTAAGTTCTTCTTTGCAATTACTCTCTTCTGCTGTCTTATTTAGAAGGTTGCCTAAGATGTAGCTTAAACTAATAATAAACCTCTCTACTAAAGTAAGTAAGCACTTTGTGCATTATAAATAACTACTAAGTCCTTTATTATAACTTTAATAAAATGTAAGTGCTAATGTATTAGTATTAGATAAGGTATTAGACTTATTAATTTATAAGCACTTAGCTAGCTGCTATCTATAGCAAGCGCATTACTATCTAGGCTTAAGATGTGCAGCTTGTTATTTGCATTGCTTAGGATTTTAGCTAGTACTTTAACTTTGCTAATAAGTACTTGCGTAGATAGACTTACTAAAAAGTGTTCTCTTACATAGCATTTATAGGTATATAGGTCTTTGCGTAGAATTTATAGAAATATAGTTTATAAGTTTTAGTTTATAGACTACTTTTTATTGTCTGCTCTACTTATAGTCTTCTTTTATAGGCTTCTTCTAATGCAGTCTTCTTCTCTAGAAAGAGTTTAATAAGTGACTTAAAACAAGCTCCGCTTATGCATTTATTTATAAACTGTTATAGTATGTTAATTAACCAGTCGTCAGCTTTACAAGATTCTCATATCGAGTCTGCGAGTATAAAGAAGCGACATGAGACAGTCACCTAGCATTCATCATCAATCACTTTTTGCCATCCTGAAAGTCAACGATAATTGCCCTACCTAAAACCTTTAATAAAAACCGTTCAGTAACTATTTTGAATCCACCTATTTCAAACCAACAGTTCCCAGCCAATCTACGATAATGCGGATCTCAACTCTCGTTTCGACCTTGGCAACCATCGCTCTCTCTTCTGCCCGGATTATCGGTCTCGCGGCACCTTCTACGCTGAAGCCTGGCGATCCTTACGCCTTCAAGCTCCTCACCGAAAACTACATCCAAAGCGTTTACGACGTTTCCGTTGCTTGGGGTTATTCGGCCGCCCCAGGACACTTGCAATCTCTAGGCAGCTCCGTCGGCTCTGCCTACCTTGGATCATCTGTATCCAACACGCTCAACAATATTACGATATCTGCTTCTGCGCCGTCTGATTTAGGATCTTTGGCTGGGGATTCGAAGAAGGTGGTGCTAAGCGCGGCTGTTTACAGCCTGTATGGTGCATCGTCCATGCCAACTATCGCGAACTTCAATGTGACAATTAATGTTGGAGATAGCACAAGCTCACAGTTTACGAGGAATAATGGATTTACATGGGGCACTTCGTCTGACTGTCAATGATGGAGGAGAGCGGGGCATCGAGATGGCCACTGGGGGCACAATGCATCGTTTAACGTTGATAATTTGAAGCGCATCAAGGGATCGTTGGTTAGTGCCCTGCGATGACATGCCAAATCCTCACCTTACAATACAATTGCATGTCTTCAGTTGGTTGATGATTTCAGTTCAGGTACTCTGAGAGTGTGTCAATCCGTCATAAGAAATGCGCAATGCCCGTCACTAGTTATTAGACAAGAATTCCATTACGCAATTGAATATTCTTGATAGAAATCCGTGTTGCAAAATAATTGGTTCTACAGGGGGCATTCCTCATTCTTTACTACTTTATGCCGTCGTACTTGTTGCACAAAACCTCCTTGCTGTGCTCCTGTTGAAGCATCCTTCGCGATTCACTGCTCTTTTTAACGTGTAAAATACCTGGAGTTATTTTACACTCATGTTCCTCTTTCATCCAGTTTGTCCAAAGTCGTAATGTCAATAATTCGTTGAACCCTTGAAAACGGTTCATCAACTTTCATCTTACTCAATCGGCGCTTTCCCTTTCGAAGTCGTGTGCGTAATTCAGTATACTGTCTGGTAGTACATATTGTGTAGCAAGTGGGTAAAGTCTCAGTTGACGGTAAGAATGTGTGCTGGCTAAGTTTATACGTAGGGCCCGCATTTTCTCGGCAGATTGAGTCTCCGGGATTTAGAATTACTCCCCGTCCCTTACTCCAATCGAGAAAGTAGTTAGCTACTAGTACAAGTATTACAGAACAACAACACTGCGGAAACGGTGAACTTCTTCTAACCCACAGCATTCTTCGACTTCACGTACATTCATATATCTTGTTTCATAGAACATGCATAGCGCAAACGGAGCACGCACACGGAGACCTGAATCTGCATTACCTTGAGCAGATCGCTAATAAACACCTCGATATCGACATCGCTAGCTTCAACCGGGTTTGCTTCTAGCATTTCTGCATTCCAAGCCGAAACCTCACCACCATGAAGCAACAGTGGAAATACCACCGAGAGTAGAGGAGCGTACACAACGAACGGAGATAGTTCAAAAATGCTCTCCTTAAGAGGTAACATAGAAACAAGCGGCACGTACCTCCTTTCCTTCCCTATCCCACAATGCACACACCTCTCGAGAACGTGCCGCAAAGTCGCTACATTCTCACGCTATCCAAATACCTGTGTTCATAAAACGCAGTGCGGGTTGCTGCCACCTATGATGAGGTAGCACAGAGATGTTATCAAGATGGGGGAACACCGAGACGACCCCGAGGCCGGCTACGAAATACTTTAGCGCGAGGGCGTCATGAGTCGGCTAGCAAGCTCCATAATTCCATCCTAGTACCCTCGCCAGTTGCTCCATCTGGCCGACAGTTGAATGCCTTCTCCAAAGGCCGTTCGACACCCTTCAACCGTTCAGACAGATCGCCAAGCTAGGGTTAAAGATGGGCATCTCGACGCAGTGCCTGATCTGGTACTTAACGCCCTAGATACAATACTAGACCGGGTCTTGGATTAGGTACTGCATCATCAATTATGAGCTCTGGGGCGTCAAACACTAGATCTTATACTATATCGGTGTTGACAATTATCAAAATTTCGTCTTATATTCAACTACCGGCGCGTCAAACACGGGATCAAGTACTTCGTCTGAGGTATCAATTACAAGTTCAGTCTTCAAACACAGTTTCCGAGGCTACAGCGACATCAACTCGAGGAACCACTTCGTCAGCGATTTCGTCAAATCCAACACGGCATCTGAGGTGTTTAGAACTGGATCAAGCTTAAGCACTACAACTGTGACACGAAGTAGCAGCTCTGAGGTATCAGCCATCAGCTCTAAGAGTTCAAGCATAAATACCGAGCCGTCTCAACCCTCACCCACGCGCCAGAATCGGCATCGATTCCACTAGGACCCATCATCACACCCTCTGAACCTTCCTCAACACTCGCCTCCTTAACCATAACATCTGAGACTGCCCCAGGCACATCTACATCGTCTCCTACACTAAAATCCACCCACCCTGCCAACACTTATCAACCCCACCAACTATTTCCCGGCACCGTTCAAAACCTGCTCCTATTAAATGGACAGATAACTACAATCTGAACGCCAGCGATGGCATGGATGGGTACGGTACTTCTGGCAACGAAGATGAGGTGCACTGGCATTGGTATGGGGATAAGCATGGAGAGGAAGGAGAATCTTGTGCAGCAGGCGCGACGAGTTGCGAGAGCGAGAGGGAGACTGTTACTAGGACGAGGTTTCTGAGGTGGTATACTGGGGACGCTGAAGTAGAAAGCGGGGAGGATGCGGGTGAGGCAGATGGATGGTGAGGTGGCCGTGGTGGGTATTGAAAAGAACAAGTAAGAGATTGGGGAGAGTCGGAAGATGATGGGTACTACACTGAAGAGAAAAACGACCAGGAGAAGAAAGATTCGAATAATGTGAGTGGCAGTGGGAGTGAGAGTGCGGAGAGAAGGCTGAGGGTCGGAGGATTGTAGGAATGGGTTTCGGTGGAAAGGGACGCGCGATGCGATGATGGCGAATTGACAAGTTTGTTTCAGAATTTCCAAACCTTGAATTGGAGGGATTTGGACGCTGTAAGTTGAGAAAAAGGTGTGAAAGGTGAAAACTTCCCCGTAAAGTTTATTCATAATGGGATGGCTTACATGAGTAAAGATAGATAGTAGAAAGGGAAGAAGTTGAGACTGTCGGATGGATTTTTTCTGGTGATGTCTTTTGTCGCTGATTGACCGTAATGTGTTGAATCCCTTGGAAGGTCTGGAAGATTTCATTTTACAATATCCAGTGGGTCGTCAGAGAGGTCATTCAATAGGGGCTCTGATCATCCACAAGATTTGTAGAATGCCGTAGCGATTATCTTCTAACCATTGCTTTCCGAAGAATATTATCTACTCTGCTTCTCAAGAATTCATTCCCTACCTCTCAAACGTTGCACGAACATCTATAACTCGTAATGCTCGCTACCCCAGTCTACCACAAGTCAGCTTCTCATTTTGACAATGAAAAACATGTCGAAATACTCACCTTTCAACCACTCAACAACAAAATTCTTCACAAACTCCTGTGCATATACAATCTGATACGGTGGCAGAATCGGCGTAGTCTGATTCGGAAAGATGCCATTCTCTTCCCAATGGTGCACGCCGTGCGCAATTTCCAACACAGGCTTCTCTGTCGTGCTAGTCCGCTTCTTCGCTGCATCAGCCAAGGGAGTAGCTGGTCTCCACGGATCCGCATTTCCTCCAATGATGGCTAAGCGTGGGTACTCGATATCGAAAGCGCCGTACTTATTGACTTTGGAGACGTCGGAGGGAGTCGATATGTTGAATGCATCTACGCAAAAGGCAGTGAGGTATGGGATATCCAGAAGCCGGGATACAAGAGGCATGATGTCCGGAGGAGTGTTGCCGGTTTGGATGTACCCCCATTCGGTGCAGACTTGGTAATCCCAACTTCGCCAGGCATATTGGGAAATGTCGTCTTGTTGATAGTAGGTGGCGTTGTTGAGAGTGAAGCATTCGTTCTGATCTTCGCTCTTGCAGACAGACACGAAGTTTACGCCGAAATACCCGATGGCATTGAGCATGATGTTCTCTAAACCCGTGTCATTCTTATAACCAGCTGTAAGAAGAAGGTCCTGGACGGTGGGCCGTAGAGACTGGTAGCTGTCATCGAGAAGAGTTGTTGTCATATTCGTGCAGTATCTGTTTTCAGTTAGCAATTTCACATTAGGATATTAGGCCGTCTTACTCGAAGAAACCCGGCCAATTCGTATCAGGGTCCCAGCTATTTCTCGGTTAGTTTTCTATCCTGTCTTTCTAGAAAGAGACGTACTTTGTGCTTTGCCACCCGTAGATTCCATTTGTTAGGACATTCACAAAGTCCTTGTTGTTACTAACACGGCCGAGACCAAAAGCAGCCTTCAGCTCAGCAATTTTATCCGTGTTATTTCCCATGAGAATCTTATCAACCACATCCACCACAAGTTGTGTACCCTTGACGCAATCTGGTGGAGCGAATTGGCGAATTGGCTCGAAATACTCCCAGTAATCGTAGATAGCCTTTGTCACACCAGACGAAGAAATAGCTCCGAAGAAGGTCTCTGGGTAGACAACACGCAAGAAGGCAGCTTGAGCTCCAGCATACGAGCCTCCATATACAATCCACGGAGTTCTCGGCGCGGTCATATCATGGTCGATTCCCTCGAATTCGACATTTCTGGCGAAATAATCGATCTCTGCCAGAGCTTGCTCAGTGGATAGGAAGCGCATATTCTCAACAGAAAGATCGTGGACGGGAAAACTTGTTCCATAGTATCGATGTTCCAGGATAACACCCAGTCCACCCGTAGCTTGAGTGACCTGCGCCACGATGCCTTTTTGGAGGAAAGGAAGCCGGTCAGCCCCATCTGTTTCTCCACCGAGCAGCACGAAGACTGGACCGCCTTGCTTGTAATGTGAAGCGTCGAACCAGTACCTGAGATTAAAGGTGTCGTTTGAATGGGGCTCGTATCGTGTCTCATTGTGGAAAAAATCTACAGGGACTGAAATATTGTATGCTGGGTATAATGACTCGGGGTTTACATCGCGCTTCGCAAGTGTTCGCGCCGCATTGCGTTGCTCCGCCTCCAAAAAAAGTTATTCACGAAGATGTCAGGGTAGTTGGAGGTAGCTCACCTCTCTTCTCAGTTGATACACTGGCTTTCGGCCATTGAGAAGTGCCGCTGTAGCTTGAAGCCAGAAAAAGAGACCAAAAGCGACGGGGAAATACATGCTGCACCACACTACGAAAGGACCGGGCGGAAGGAGCAAGGGAACGCGAAATGCATCCTACCTGTGCTGCAATATATAGAGGAGTCGATGACGATTTTGTTTTCTCTCTTATGGACAAGGGTAGCTTCCTTGTGCCTGTCTATTGGCGCAGACCTGTCATGCTTTGGGAAGGTCCCAGTGTTAGTAACCAAGGCGGCCTATACTCGAAGCAGCAGGAGATTACTTTATGAACCGAGCGAAGAGCGTTTGGCGGGTTGAGAGATCAGAGCATAGCAATACAGTAGGCGCCGAGAAATCTGAGACAGATAATTGTGGTATAGGAATACGCTTGGGTTTTCCGATATTTCGGCCCTGAGGGGAGGATAAGAGGTGGCACTGTTGCGCAAAGATGCATGGATGTGTGCACGCATTTGCGGGGAGGAGCGTCGACCAATCACAACTGCTTATCTCTGGGCATTAAGTCACCCACGCCGTCAAGGAACCAGATCGCAGACACATCGCCATTTCAAAGCAAGAGCGTCTTAATATGGATTCTACAAATCTTTCAACCGAGAAGGACTATCCTAAACACTTCATTCCCCTCGAGTCAAACCCTGAAGTCTTCACTGAACTGATCCACAAGCCCGGTGTAACTGAGTCACTCTGCTTCTAAGACGTGCTGTCTCTGAATGACCCAGACCTACTGGCATTTGTACCAAGACCTGTGTACGCCTTGGTCCTTGTGTTTGCGACGACTGAGGCGTATGACAAACAATGTGCGGATGTGGAATGCAGACTTGGTGCCTATGAAGGGCGTGATGAGGATGAAGACTTTGTGTTCTTCAGGCAGACTATCAGCAATGCTTCGCCCTTTATGGTATCCTCCATGCAGTTTGCAATGGGGACGCAAGGAACAGTATTGGTATCATCTCCGTATATGGGGCTTATTCCTCATGGATGTTAGTTCGGAAATTGAGGTTCACAATTTCCAGGAACCGAATCAGTTCTGGGCCGCCTGCTAAAGAGATGTCTACCCCTCAAACCAGATGAGCGGGCATTGGGTCTCGTAGACAGTGACAGGCTGGAGGCTGCGTACGCGTCAGTCGCCAAAAAAGGCGACACTGCAGCTCCGGAGAACCCAGAGGATGAGGTCGATTTCCGCTACATTAGCTTTGTGAGATCGCACAAGAACAGCCACTTGCTTTAGATGGATGGAGAGCGGAAACGGCTAATCGACTTGGGGGAGCTTGGGGCAGAAGAGGACGTTCTCTCGGACAAATGCTTAATGGTGATTAGGGATCTGGTTGAGAACCCAAAAGGTGGGGATCTAAACTTCAGTCTCATCGCTCTAGTTCCTGTCTAGGACTGCTGGATGCGCACGGGAGGGTATTTTGAGAGCGATATCATGTAGGTAGCCAAGGAGTCACACTCTTCGTGGAAGACCTCGAAAGAGCAAGAAGTGTGAACTATGAAGGACCTGCATTTGTCTTGCAACAGGCGCACGGAGAATTCTGCAGCCGCATGCACCGGACCAACGCAAGACGCGAAGAAACGGGATGCTCCCGAAGGACTTGTGGATGTGTCGGGACGACCAAGTGGCTGTTGTGCGAGTTGCGAAGATGATAGATTCCTCAACGGGAACTAAATATAGCCTCATATGCTTATTTATGACAATAATGCTCTCATGAATTGAATGAAGGCACCCTTCCGGTGAGGGCTTGAAGAGTGATGCAGCATTGGTGAGCGTTGTGGCATGTTGTTGAACTTTTCTCCAGGCCTTGGCATTTAGCTTTCCTAATCGGGAAGGTTTACTGCGAACCCACAAAAGTGTAGGAAATAGTGGTTGAATATGCTAGTCTGCAAGGTATGGAGTTTATCTAAATGAACCGAGGCTATTTTCCAGTCCGGGGATCTCTAATTATCAATTCAGCTCGCTGGTGAAGGTCAACCTCAATTCCGCAGTCGCGGAAAATCTATGCTTCCGAGGTTTCTGCCAAGACGCTAAAATCCGCAACCGTGCTCCTTCCGTCGAACTCGAGCTCTCGCGGCCTCTCTACCACGACGTTACGACCCTCCATTCCGTTCCTTCACCTCGATATATCGTCGCTCATTGTACCGCTCCCTCCCTGCGTGAGACCTCACCAAACTTCCATTTAATCTTCGCCCTCATTGCGCCGCTATGACGAAGCGAAAGCGACAGTATCCAACCCTCCAGCAGAAGCTCGACCGACCATGGTGTTACTATTGCGAACGCGACTTCGACGATCTTAAGATCTTAATTTCGCATCAAAAGGCTAAACATTTCAAATGCGACAAATGTAATCGGCGGCTGAATACTGCTGGAGGTAAGCTTGCTTCTACCTCCCCTTCACCGAACTTTACACCTTATGCTCGCGTTGGAGGAGTTTATATTAATCCATTTCAGGTCTCTCCGTCCACATGAATCAAGTACACAAAGAAAACCTAACAAAAGTCGAAAACGCCAACCCCGACCGACAATCCCTCGACATAGAGATCTTCGGCATGGAAGGTATTCCAGCCGAAGTTGTGGACCAGCACAATCAGGAGGTCACAAGCAAGCATTTCGCCGAGGAGCAAGAGCGGGCGCGTTTGACGGGAAATCCGGTGCATGATGCTTTTGGTGCTGGAGGCCAGTTAGCAAAGAAGCAGAAGGTTGAGGAGACGATTGAGGGTATTAAGAAGAGGATTGTAGAATTTAAAGAGAATATCGCAAACGGAGGGATGCAGATGAATGGAAGCGGTGGGCCGGTGCAGCCCATTGGTTCGGTAAGTACATCTGCTTTCGTCTATAGTCTTGCTTCCGTGTTTGTAGCAGCGAGCATATGCATACAACGTCTTGGGAGGATGAAGACAGCCTGTCTTGCTGGGGGGAGGTGGGGTTCCTCACCGGAGGACACTCATACCCTGCTTCCGCAGTCCCCCCATCATCAATCACTGACTAACCACCTCCCAGCAACCACCCCTCCCCCACCTCGGCCACTCCCAGCCCACTGCCAGTCTCCCAGCCATCCCCGGCGGTCCCTCACCACCACCCGCAAACCCCTTCGCAGCACCCCAACAAGCGCCACAACAGCAACCACAACACCCCTTCCCACCAGCCGTCCCACAAGCCCTACCACCCCGCCCACCTGGCCATCCCAACGCCGCTCTTGTCGCATCCGTGGACGAACTCATTTCGAGCGCTGCGAAGGACGCGAAAGACGTCAAAGATGCGAAGGAAGGGAAGGCAGGCGGAAGCTCGAAGAAAGAGAAGAACATCCGATTGGTGTTTTCGGGGGATACGGAGAGTCCTGAGGAGAGGATGGTGAGGTTGGGCAGGTTTGAGTTTGCTGCTTGAGGGGGATGGACGGATGTGGTGGGCCGAGTATATTAGGGAAATGTGAGATTACAAGTAATCAGGGTTAGGAAACAAAGTTTCCCTAATCTTGTTAGGCCATGAACTGATGTAATCGTTTGGGAGTTAGGAATTGAATCGGACGTGGGTGGAAAGAGGGAGGGACGAATGGGTCGAATATTTCAATGTAAACTTTGCATCTTACAGCCCTGATCATGCATGCATGCTATCTGCATCATCTGTGTCCTGCCCTAAGACGGGGATTTAAATTCCTAGTCCTTACAATCCTCTAGTCCGCACCAGAAATCTAGAAAAGATGCAAAGAATTTCCTCAAGTATACATGGATAACTCAATCATGCCTTGTGACTATGGTGTGCATGCCCGGGTCCCGTCCAGAACAGACATTTCTGCACCCCCTAAATCCCTTATCCGTGATGAACCATATCACATAGTGAAGCGACAAAACCGCCAGACCAACCCCTCTATCCTATTAGTAGTCTTCCAATTCCTCACCCTCTTCCTCCTCATCCTCATCGTACTCCTCGCTCTGCTGATCGGAATCCGAGCTGCTGCGATCGTCACTGGCATGCGCCCACGCCTGACTCTCACTTAAAGCTAATGAATCTCCAAGGTCAAGACCCCGCGATGCTTCTAAGCCCATGCGTGCTTCGCTTGAGGCGGTGGTGCCAGAGACGTCCTCGGCGACGGGGATGGGATCAACTTCCCTCAGCCGTGAGTGTGGACCAGCATTTTCGTCATCGTCATCGTTATCGCCGTTGTCGTCGTCGTGAGAGGCACCACCCGTAGCAGCAAACCCCACACTCTTCCCCGCATGCCCGACGTCTTCGTGTGTCCGCGCGCCTTTCTCTTCCAAAACATCGCCACTCCAAGGGCGACATTCCTTCACAACCTCCCCGCAGCGCAAACACGTCCACCCCTCACCCTCTTCGTTCGCAATCCGCTGCGCCAAACACGCAAAACAATACACGCAGCCACACGCCACGGCTTCGTACGGATTCGTGATATCCGTAGCCGCGGAGCCCACGACGCCTCCCCCGCCGGCAGATTGGGCTATGATGTCTTGTTCGGTTGCCGCAGTGGGGTTTTGATCTCTATAGCAGATTGCGCAGGTTCGTTCGGGGAGGAAGCTGAGTTCACCGGTGGGATACGCGGTGTCGGCGGAGGGGTCCGAGGGGTCCGAGGGGCCTGTGGGACCTGAGGAGGGGGAGCCGCGACCGAGGAGAGACAGGATGGAGGCTTTCAGTTTTCGCCAGGTGCGACCCAGGGTTCGGCGCCAGCGTGATATGCCCACGAGAGGCAGGAGGAAGAGCAAGAATTCCGTGAACGCGTGCCACACAAGCTGTCGGTTTAGGTATTCAAACGAGACTTCTCTGCTCGTCGAATGCGAGGTTGGAGTCAGCCGGAGACGGAGCAGACGGTCTGTCAGGGTTCTATAGCGGCCGTTGAGTAAGAAGACGAGGAAGGATGCTAGACTCGCCATGTCGTGCGCGCTGTTGATGTACTCGGTTATCCTGCCCGCGAGTTTCAGCGCGTGGGACTGCGGAACGGTGTAGTCTTCGGAGGTTGCGAGAAGGTATTCTTCCCATTTCGTCCACCCGTAGCGGCCGCCGATCGTGATGATGCCGTACGCGGCTTTTTGCCAGGGCTTCGGGGGCGGGCGGGCGGAACTCTTGCTGCGTGCGTCGGTGTAGCGTAGGCCTTGGAGATGAGCGCCGTAAGAAGCGTTGTTGTTCCAGATACTCAGTTTGAACAGAATCAACCGCAACGCAAGAAGTATCTCAGCACCCCATGCATCCGCTAAATGGCTTCCGAAATACTTGAGACCCTCGCCAGCCTGGGCCTTTAGTAGTTCTAACAGCTCTTCGTCGAGGAGCTCTGCATCAACCTGACCAACCCTAAATTCCGGCCTCGTTCCTTCCCGTCCCTTGATGGCATCCCACGCGCTCACGCCCACGCCGCCCAGTTGCCCAAACGGAAACGGCAATCTCGACACACCGCGTCCAGACCCGACTGCGGGACTTCGTGTGGAAACTTGGGAATCATGATGTGCGCGTTGCTGGGATGCGCGTTGGGCGCGGCGCGCTGCGAGACGCTCTTGTGCGGCGGCAAAGTCGGCGGAGGGCATTGGAGGGCATTGGGATTGAGAGAGATGCGCGTGGACCAGCTGGGGGTATAAGTAGATGTGGAGTTGCAGAGACTACAGACACTAGCAGAGTCGTGCACGCCGCTGCTGATGCTGATATGGGCTGAGATGTGAATGCAGAGGGCTGGACCGAGGGAGACCTCGGCTTGCACGCGCATGGATGGTCCGCCTTGATGGGGAGCGAGTGAGAAAGGCGAGGCCACCACTGGCTTAGTTTGGGATAGGGAGCGGTGCGGGGAGCTGGAGCTTGAGTTTTTTTTTGACTGAACATGGCCAGCCTCTTACACTACGCGCTTCATGGATTGCGTTTCGCCCTGGGTGAGCAGGAATTTGGATTCGCTGGCGTGGAGTGCCTGCCGTCCTTCACCGCTGCTGTAAATGCCGTAGAGTTCGTGATCAATTTACTCCCCCCCCCGCGGCACAGAACACCCCACTACCATAACTGCATCCAGCAATTCCGTGGAATCCACCACAACCATGGAGGTTGAGGTCCCTTTGATAGAGGTCCCCGGAGAGGCAAATCCACTCTCCGAAGGCATTCTATATCATGTCCTTCGGTCAGCCGCCTCTGCAGATCCAAATCAGATCCAAACAGGCACCAAGCAGCTACAGACGTGGGAAAAATCAAAGGGATTCTATCCTCTGCTACAGGTAGGCGGGGTACATGATCCATAGAAAGACCTGGCGTCGTGACATGTCACAGGCTGTGTTTCTCGACAAATCCCTTCCCCTCGAAGTTCGCTACCTCGCCATCATCCAGCTCAAGAATGGCATCGACAAATACTGGCGGAAGACGGCCTCGAAGTATGACGCCCAGAATATGTGCTGCTTTGCGGGCGCTGACGGGGCCACAGTGCTGCGAGTAAAGAGGACAAGGCTGTCATCCGATCGAAGCTTTTGCAGTGCGGTGTCAACGAGGCCGACCAGCGTTTGGCTCTCCAGAACGCCTTGGTCATAGCCAAGATTGTCCGATTCGAGTTTCCAAATGACTGGTATGCCGCCACTTCCAATATCTATGCAACAAGTGCTCATCACTTGTAGGCCAGACCTCTTCCAACTGCTCCTCCAAATCCTCCGTTCGTCTACTGACCCCAATGCCTACCGCCTCCACCTTCCACGTGCCCTGCTCATAATGCTCCACATAATCAAAGAGCTATCTACAGGCCGAATGATGAAGACAAGGGCAGTTCTAGGCACCATCGCGCCCGAAAGCTTCAACGTCCTCGGCCACATATATGTCCAAAAAGTGCAGAGCTGGCAGACTTTCTTCCGAGATGGAGGAGACGACGAAGGTGGGGCTCTTGAGGATATCGATAACAGTCTGCTCGCCATAAAAGCGCTGCGACGACTAATCATCGCAGGATACGACTTCCCCGCCAGGGACAAGGATGTTCAAGCTTTCTGGACTCTGACTAGAACTCACTTCGCAGAGTTCCTTCGGTATGCCATGCAAGAAGACTCTCCGTTGGCTCCGAGCGTACGACGGCTTATCGAGAAACACCTCATGCAGCTCGCCAAGTTTCATCTAGCCATGGCGCAAACTCATCCCGCTGACTTCGTCTTGTTGCCAAACACCATCGACCTCGTCCGCGACTACTGGAGTCTCGTAGCCAAGCTTGGAGAATCCTGGGGCTCAGAGTCCCTAGATCATGCTCAGATTGGCACCGACGGCGATTCTGAAGATGACGCTCCCATACTCGAGCGTCTCGGGCTCAAAGGCCTCCTCCTCGTTCGTGCCTGCGTGAAAATGGTGTTCTACCCACAACAAACCTTTCGGTACCGACAGCCACAGGAGAAGGAAGAACGAAGTCGTGCCGTGCAGATAATCAAGCTCGAACTCTTGACAGATGACCTTGTTCGGGAAATGATATCCGCCCTCGTGACGAGGTTCTTTGTCTTCAGGCCGAGTGATTTGAGGATGTGGGAGGAGGAGCCGGATGAATGGGAGAAGATGGAGGAAGGGGGCGAGGATTGGGAGTTTGCAATCCGTCCCTGTGCCGAGAAGTTGTTTTTGGATTTGGCGAAGAATTTCAAGGAACTGATCATACAGCCGTTGCTGCAAGTGTTTTATTCGGTTGCGAGTAAGTCTGCTCGTTGTATTGGAAGGGATGTGTGGGCTAACATGGATAGCGCCGGAGAATGAGGATGTGCTGTTCAAAGACTCGGTGTATACGGCTGTTGGACTTGCAGCAGACATCCTGCTTGATGACCTCGACTTTGATGCCTTCATCTCCAACACGCTCGTTGCCGAAGCCCAGAAACAGAAAACGGGATTCAACATTATCCGCCGCCGTATCGCAATCATCATAGCACAGTGGATCGCTATAAAAGTATCCGAAGTAAAGAAACCTGTCGTTTACCAGATCTACCAACATCTCCTAGACAAGAATGATCCTCTAAATGACCAGGTTGTGCGGGTCACCGCAGGAAGAAAGTTTCGAGATATTGCGGATGAGTGGGAGTTCAAAGCTAAGAACTTCATGCCATATGCGCCAGAGATCCTGGATCGGTTGATGGCGTTGGTGCAGGAGGTGGAGTTGCCGGAGACGAAGATGGCGTTGCTGAATACAATCAGTATCACCGTTGAGAGACTTGAGCATCACGTATGTCAAAGTCTAAAAAATCATAGATTCAAAAAAAAACCCGTTTGGCTAATGTCGAATAGATCACCCCCTACGCGAACAGCATAATATCCCTCCTCCCACCTCTATGGTCTGAATCCGGCGATCAACACCTAATGAAACAAGCTATCCTAACTATCCTCTCGCGCCTCACAAACGCCATGAAAGCCGAATCGCGCACTTACCACGTCTCGTTCCTCCCCATCATCCAATCCGCAATCGAACCCGGCTCCGAAACCCAAGTCTACCTTCTCGAAGACGCGCTCGATCTCTGGGCCTCGATACTCGCGCAAACGCCTTCTGCCCCCGAACCAACTCCCCCGGAACTTCTTGAATTGTTAAAGTTTCTGATACCCCTTTTTGCAATGGACAATGAAACCCTCCGCAAAGCCATCGAAATCACAGAAGCTTATCTGCTGCTCGCCCCGGGCTCTGTCCTCGCAGATAGCTTCCGACAAGAGCTCCTCAAAGCTCTCGCGGACCTCCTCGGTAGCCTGAAACCCGAAGTCAACGGCATGGTAACACATCTCATGGAATGCGTGATCCGCGGGGCCGACGGCTTCGGCGGCGATCAAGCTGTTAAAGTACTCGTTGGGGATCTCCTTTCCACAGGGTTTCTGGCAAAGGTCATGGAAGGTTTACATGGCGCATGGACACACCACCAGTCCCATGGCCCGTATCGTGAGTTACCGTCGCGAGCCGTAGATGGCGTTGTCGAGACGGATTATTTTGTCGTGCTAGCGCGGGTTGGATTTGCGGCACCACGGGTCTTACTAGAAGCACTGGCAACAATTGGCGCGCCCGCGACTGTAGAGCGGACGCTAGAGTGGTTGTTGGAGGAGTGGTTTGGACATATTGAAAACATCGGAGACGCGCCGAATCGAAAGTTGATGTGTCTTGTTTTGACAAGGTTTTTGGAATTGGGTGAGGGGTGGATTTTGGGGCGATTGCAGAGTTTGATGGCGGTTTGGATGGATGTGTTGGGGGAGTTGTTGGACGGCATGGATGATCGGAGCATGGAGTATGTTATTTATTCACTTCCCTTACCACTCCACTCCCAAATTCAAACACTGACTAACCCACTACAGCTCCCTCTACTGGCCCCCGGACCCTCTTCCCCCACAACCAAACGACCCAGAAGCCCCCGAGGATATCCGAAAGCGTGAACTCATCTACTCAGATCCCGTGCATAGGCTTAACCTCGTTCAATTTGTGAAAGAACATTTGCAGGCAGCCATCTTGGCGGCGGGTGGAGACGAACGGTTTCAGGAGGAGTGGTTGAGTAGAGTGGATAAGGATGTGTTGAGAGGCTTTGGGGAGCTGGGAGTTATGTGATGGAGCTTTTCAGGGGGAACGGGGTGGGGTCTACTTTTCTACAAGACAGGTAGGGAAGTTAGCGTGTAGAACTGGGGACCGGGTTGATGGTGGATGTCTTTTCTTCACGCGTACTTGTATGCGTAGTTTTCCGTGGCATAGCGTGGTATACCAAATGCAGGCATATAGATATCAGTAGCATGGCGGCTAGGATTCCGGGGACGGCGGCGTGGAACCAAATTCGATTGCTCTTGGTAGACAGTGAAGGAGATGTGTGCCTACCTATTCCGGTAACCTTGGTCTAGGCTGAGCGCACATCCGCAAAGAAAGCATGATGCCAGCTAAAGTCCAAATATATCACTTGATTTGCAGAATCTAACAAGGTGGGATAAGAATAAAGGGTACGAAATATAGAGAGATATATGATATATTTCTCCAAATGTGGGAATGGCAAGCAAACAAGCATGCGACGAAACATGACTCCGGATATCAAGTGTAGTAACATATATACGTCATCATCACTTACTCATCATCGTTGTCATAGTTCCGCAGAAACTCCCACATAGCCCGCACAACAGCGACACCACCTCCCTGGGTCTCGACCGTGCGTCCTCGTCCCCTATCGTTTAGATCCCGGTTTCCACTGTTGAAGTCTTGTTCTTTCATTCCGGTGATGTCAATGTTCGGTTCGCCTTCCGTCTGTTCGTCGCGTAATAGCGTCGAAGGATGGTTTCTATAATCCATAGCATTGAGTGGAAGAACATGGCTCATCCCCTTCCGAATCAACGTCCTATGAAACTTCTCCCTCTCCCCCTCATCATCCACCCTCATACCCACGATTCCACTCGGCGCACCCCACCACGTCCCAAATCTGCCCCTCGTATCCCGCGTCCCCATCGCCTTCTGCGCATTCAACACGACCCACGCCGCATACTCCCCACAACTCCGTTTATGCAGAGCAGCCGTAACCTTTGACGCGAAGAATGTTTTTCCAGGCATAGCTGCGGATGTTGGTAGCGGTGCGCAGAAGGTTGTCAGATGGTGGAAGAAGATTCCTTTGAAGGTTTGGCCGTTTTGGGAACATGTGCCGTAGGGATCACAGAGCTCAGTTAGGATGCCATGACTGCCAAGGCCTGACCATTGGGTTGTAGATGCAGACTCGTTCTCGGGGGAGGGGGATCCGGACTCAGGCTCGGAAAGGGGCCCGTCGTGGTGTGATTTGGTGTCATGTTCGGCTAGTGAGAAGGATACCGAAGGTGATATTTTCGTGTCCGTCCACCCTGTCGCCCGAATAACGTTTCGGATGAGTTCGTGTGCATCTTCGAGATACTCTACGCGTCCTGTACCTTCCCACAATCCTCGTAACCCGGAGAGGAGAACGCCTTGGTTGTATGTGTATACCATTTCGTTTCGTTCATCGCATTTCCCAGTCCCGATACTATTATTCTTGCCATAGTCTTTAATATGAAATCCGTCGACATACAAACCATGCGTATTCTTCATCCCACTGTCCTTAAGCCACTTGTAGCCATTGATAGCAGCAGATAGATATATTGGATCATACGTCGCTCTAGGCACTCCGTAATCGCAACCCTCATCATCCCCTCGTTCCTGGCTCCGGAGTTTCTTCCAACCAGGGTCGTCTTTATTATCCCCTGCACCCATAAAGGGAGAACAATTCGTATCGCCGGTAAAATGGAGGTACATGCCAATACTCGCCGAAATAAAAAGCTCATTTGTAATCGCATTTTTATATGGCAATCGTGTATGTGGATTCCAATTCATACCTCCGCCACACAATTTCCAGTCCCAACCTTTCGACGCAAGTTCGTAGAATATGCGCGCGCGGTGTGCGAACGCCGGGGCGAATTGTCGACCATGCCATTCGGATTCGCCCTGTGCGCGGTCAGACGAGAGTGGGTAGTGCATCTCCGAATGGCCGTTTATGAATTGTATGCCTTCCAGCCAACCGAGGACTACCCATAACATGTCGTCGTAGGCTTGGTTGCGGATAGCGAAATGGTCTTCACCGAAGAAATAAGTTATGCTTTGCGTGAAGTATTTGTTTATTTCGTTTTCGATCATTTGCGCTTCAACGTCGAGTTTTCGGTCTTTATCAAAGGTGCCAGGCATTGTGTATGGTAGGGAATGTGAGAGCGAGGATAAGGCTGCGGAGACGTGGGTGCCCATTATGGCAGCGGTCCAGTCGATAGCTGTTGTCCATTTTCCAAGCCAGAGGCTGAAATAGAAGGTTTGCATTGTGGAGAGCGCCGCGTGCAATTCTTGGAGTGCGTTTGTAACGGCTGAGGGGGAGAAGGGGGAACCTCCATACTGGCCTTTCAGGTATGAATTATATGATTTGGGTTCGGGGAGTCGCTGGCCAGAGCCGATGGGACGAATAGGATGGAGGACGTTTTGGTTTTCAGTCTCGTAGCCAGTCTCGTGACCCGAGTCGTAGCCTATAAGTGAAAGTTGTGAGTACACAGCTAGAAGGCTGAGGGGGGGGACGGAGCTCTCACCGTAAGGACGGCCTTCACTCTGCAGTGCAAAAGCAAGAGTAGCAAAAATTGAGAGCAACAGCACAAAGGCCCAGGCCCGTCGCCCTATGCCCGCGATTCGAAAAATCACCATCGTGCGTCGCTCAGATCAAAATCAACTCCAAATCCCGAGGATAAGAGCGGCGCCTCGAGGGATGAGACGCCAGGGAAAGGTAAAGGAAGCCGCTCTTCCAGAGAGCGGCGAGGAAAAATGTTATGTGCCGACCATGGACCCGATGTCGTAATTCTGCGTCCTCGTTCCCAGGGTCTGAGCAGTTTGACAGCTCAATTGGGCCGGGTGAGCGTCAGCTTTTGAATGGATGAGGTCTGCTAAGATGGAGGCCAAGCCTCAGCCTTCGCGTGTCGTATTGGCTCACGTGCATTGGTCATGCACCGTTCCTGAACCTTGCCCCTGGGTTCCCAAAGCTAATGTCCCTTTCTAGCTTGCTCCGTTAAATGAAGAGAGTGGAGGCCAAATAATTTTCTGGAGATGGAAGAGGAAACACGCTGGGGAGGCCGCTAGTAGATGGCTTGGCACCTGAGTGCATTCCGTCTCTAATAGAAACTGTCTAGAATACCAAAAAGATGATAATGCATAGGTCAGGTGGCCGAGCTGTGCTTACCCCTCATTTCCACTTTGGCATGCACAGAGATTCGCTTTATTGAACTCAACAAAAAGAGATCTGGTTACGGAACTAAAAAAAAATTGCCAAAAAAATGTTGAGAGCGGTGGGATCTATACAATATTAATAATTGAACATACGTTTGCAACCAAACAACTCACTCGAACCCACGCATCTTGCGATACTAGCACCTGAAGCTAGCGCCATAACCGCTCGGCCACACTCCCGGTTGCTCAATTATAGTATTTTTAAAAGTATAAAAGATATATATGTAAAATTTTTGGTGTAGTCAAATAACTCCGGATATCCAACCATACCAGAAGGATTCGTGGGAGGCAAAGTAATTATTGGCCGTTAAGCGATCCTGTTAAATACTGTGTTGGAAGGGGTCGGGCGGCTAATCCAACATCCACTCACTCTTCAAACCCCTCGCTACTTCATCATCATAGACACTGTCAGATATACTTAAGCTAAATACACTACAAGCTTGATACAACAACCGTATCATTATCGCGATGGAATAATCCAGTGGCGGGACTTGGGTTATGGCTCCCACAGGTACAACAAAACGTCATTCCAAACCAAAGGATTTTGTTTCTTCTTACGGTTTCCGCTTGTCTCCAAAATTCCAGTAACTCTTGCATCTGTGCACCACTAGTATTACAACATTGAACTTCATTCACTAACGGGTATGTGGCTGATAGGCTTTGTTCTAATTCATGAAGTTGAGCGGGCAGGTACGGCTCATCGCGTCTAAGAATGCATAGATGGGAGGTGTGTCATCGACCACCAGACGTCAACTATGCGCTCGCTTCTAAGATGAGGTGTTACTTTGCTGTACGTCCAGACCTGCTGTTATAAAGTCAGCCATTTACTCATTGTCCAAATTGTGCAATTCAAGGGATCATCGAATGCATTCACCAAGGTTTTCACACTGAGCGAGTCTTGCTTTCGCCTGTCACACCTATCTAGGCAACAACGATTTTGCGTATCCTTCATTCTAAAGGTATTTAAATACCCAAGTAGAACCATCTCCCTGCTTGGCCTGCAGTTAGATAAAGTTGTCCGCTCTCGTATCACTAAGGAGGCTTGATCATGAAAAGATCTCCACAGCAAAGCCTCCGCCAATCAGGAAGTCGAGCTGAGCATACACGCAACGGAATTGGATTAGACTTACAAAATATCTGGATAGCTTCGTATCTATATTCCACTGCTGCTTAAGCGTTTCCGAATAGATGCAACAACATTGCTTGGAAGCCTTAAAGAGGCCGAGAAGGTCCCTGATGTCTAAGAATGTACACATGGTATCGTGGATGGGATAAATAAGTAGCAACATCAATGATGAAATCAAGCAAGCTCCGCTCATACGGGTCTAGTAAGGCAAAAAGTTGAACATTTGAAGACACCGTGCCACTTTTATTTCTCTCCTTTGGTGGAATGATGGGGTCGGATGAGTGTCATCGTGTACGTGCATAGGGGCATCGGGGAGATACTCTTATTTGGGGACGGCTTTACTAGCCCTCTTTATAGATCTTGTTTAACGATTCATTCTTTCAATAGCACTGAACACTTTCAACGATCGTTCATCAAGGCCGATTCCTCGGTAATCGCACAAGTTGATTGACTAAGAATGACAGCATCCGCATTGCCTTGAAGGAAATTGGTAAATTGCGCACCAGGACGATATCTAGGCACTATATATAGGTTCTGTAGACTAAAGTGATTCCAAGAACGTAGAATATGAATGAAGTAACTTCAGTGATATTACCCAAAGCAAGCGGAGAATCACGTAATGAAACAACCCAATCGCTTTGCCTAATCCACAAAATGTTGAATTGATAAAAGCAGATCATATAATCAAAAGGGAATATGAGGAAGATTTGCCAACCGTTATATTAGAGTTGGTATGTACAAAATTGAAACATCACATGGGGAATGTCAAGTTGTATATGCCTTCCTCGCTCTCCTCATTAACACTTCCTGAATTAGATAGGTGAGAAGGCACGGGTTAGATTGGTGGGTTAGATTTTGGATTGTGATGAGTGTGAAGAAGAGGGAAGGGAATGAGGTCAGTAAAACAACCAGACGAAGATTGTTCTCAGGGCCCTCAGCGGAGTCATTATCAGCCACGAGCCTAAAACTGGTCGAGTTCATAGCACCTTAACATCGATGTCGTACCCCCGCCAAAGCGAAGCTCGCACTACACACCATAACAATCCATATGAAGCGAGGAGAGGTTCATGCACATTAATCACCTATAGGTCTACCGAAGTGTTCGCAAAGGGCTCATACTTTCTCTTCTTTCTAGCACATCGCTTTCAAAGGAATTCCTCCAACCGCCGACAAAGCCGTCTAATCATGTTATCTAGAGGTTCTTCAAATTAAACCAAGTTCCATCAAATCACGTCAGAACCCTATTTTTCGATCGATTTGTTGCGGGATTTAGCGCTAGGATGGAACTCGGATGCTGTACCTCGCAAACCAGTCTTGGGGACATATTCTGAAGCCTCAGCGCGGAGAGCGGACCCTACACTTGAAGCTGTATGAAAACTGCTGGCGGTGGAAGGGCTGGAAATGTCGCGGTTGATATTGAAGTGAGCACCGGGCATACCTGAGTACGCACAGGGTCTACTGCCGTTGACCTGGCCAGAACGATGTCCACCTTGACGTTGTGATACGCTGGCGTTAATTCGTCCTGCCGCATATGGGGGCACCATGGAACCCTGCTGTGTTTCGTAGGAACCCACTGTACCGGTAATAGAATAGTAAGCTTGACTAGTAGGCAAGGCTGGCCCAGATGTCATACATGGCCAAGCCCAATGATGGTGGTGAGCAGACCAGGAGCTGGAGATGCGGCTCTGAGCTCCCATCGCTGTCTCTGAAGCCTTATTCTTCCAACGAGAGCCCTTACCACACCCACGAGGATGGACAGGGCCATGGGAGGACTTAGAATACCCGTTGTACGAACCGTAGTACCTGCTTCCATCCGGGATGTCCCAAGATACTTGACGAGGTTGACTTAATGAGAGCATAGGCGAAAACCTAGCCAACACGCCGGAGAAATCCCCAATAGCGGGACCTGGGGGTGGTGCTGATGAAGAATATGCAGGATAGAAACTCCCTAACCCGCCCTGGTCAGTGCCTACGAACGACCACCAGTCACCACCGCGTTTTTGAGCTGAATGCACGGCAGCGGGGCCGGATCTTGCATGCACCGCAAGCTGTCGATTTTTTTCCGAATATGTAGATTGCATAGACTTTCCGAAACCGACAGAACCAGGAACGCTATCCCCTAAGACTGGAGACAGTGGAGCAGTACTTATAGTCCGAGTCAGCGGCGCAAATCTTAATAGCCTCCCCAAAAAGTCGCCTACTTCGGATCCATGTGTATCAACGGCACATCTCTACCAGACTTCCTCAACTCCATTGCACCTTGGACCACACTTGGGTTCCAAGTATGATCCAGCGTCGCTAACTGATACCCGCCATAGGTCAGCGCATACCGGACGAATATAGCGATAGACAAGCCGATGTCTTGAGCAACAGCATACACTTGACTTCCTGGGTGCGCGTAAATTACTCCTGGGATATAGAGAGCTTGGCGGAGGCGCTCGACAGTGTATGCACTGTTATCATAGTCGCGCTGCCGCAATCATGTCAGCAAGTGCAAAATGTTCCCGAGCTAGATCCTAGGCCCGCTTACGATGCTGTTAACTTGATCTTCAGCGCGATGAACATCTTCTGTCCAGTCATATCTAATAGCACAGTCTTGACGCTTGCCCCAGACCCGCGCAAGGAAAGGAATGAGCTCCTCGCGAACCCACTCTTGATCGAGACGATTGTCCGACATAGTGGTGGGCGGGCTGTCGTTGGTGGAGGCTGCACAGAGGTTAGAGAAACTTCAAGTGCGGCGGGATTCAAAATCGCGCCGCAAAGGCAATAGGCTGGAGGTGATGGAGTTTCGTTACAGTGCCATTACTGTGTAACCACACTAGAAGCGGCTTTCACTGTTTGCCTTTCACTCCACTACCACGCACAGAGGATTTTCTTTGCAAACCTGAAAAATAGGCTTCATAAACCACTATATTTACTCCATTTTCAAGACGGTCAGCCGCAAGGATCAAAAGCGGGAGCACAGTCTCATGAAATTTTTTTAAAAATAGCAGAGCGCTATGATAAGTGAGTGATACTACGACAGCAACCACAACACACACTGCTATTCCAAATTTACTAGGCTAGACAGAATCTTATGAGTTGAATTCGCTAAACATAGCTGACCGGCCGTTGCACTAGGTCAGGGAGAGCTGGTTGTGTTTGCATTACCGAACTCGCCAGTCTACTGAAGAAGAGAGACGCACTCTAGAACAACCTAAGTAGGCAGATATCGGAGCTCGGTGAGGCCATATGGAACAATTTCCCATACGACCCTAGGAGCAGTTCGTAGCCCAAGAAATGCACTCTAAGTTATTGCAGACGCTATACCTGACGGAAACGACGGAAACCAGAGTACAAGCAGGATCTGGCTTAAATACTTCATAATGCCCGCTCTGCGGATCACTTGTCATTCTAAGACAGTACTGGTAGGTCTCGCCCCACTTTGCGAGGTCACAGCTCTAGCATCGTTAGCTTCTGACAGTGTATCTCAGCGTGTTTTGCGTAAGCAGAGACGGGAGTCGCGGGCATCAGGTGTATGGGACAATTGATTTCCACACTCCATGTTGAAATTAGAGAAGGGAATCTAGCAATTATAGTGGAAAGAGTATAGTGATTTATATTTACCATTATGAGAGGGCCCATGGAAGCTATTCGGTATGACAGGGCCGTGGTAGCCTGGAAAAAGACGAATGTTATTTCCGATGACACTTACCAAACCGCACGCTATCGTATCAGCGTACTTAGTCTTCCGAAAGCCTGGATTTGGAAACTCTCTAAGAGTGGAATTGGTGTCACTCGAGACTCAATTCAACGTACTATTTCTAAATATCATTGAGAGCTATCCACAGCTTGAACTGCACAAAATTGACCGTATTTAAGGCGTCTGAGCCACTTCATGTAGTCGAGGAGATCCATATCAACTTCTGGATAATGAGGGCTTGACGAGTACCGAACTGAAATCTTTCGGAGTCCCTTGATTTTGGTTAGTCTCTCCCATCTCCACAAACAATCCACTACCCACGTCACTACAATCGAATTTCAACTGCAAATTATAACAACTGGGCAATTATTTGAATAGAAATTCTTCCTACTTAACATTGTACCAAGCCTTTTCCCTTTTTCGCCTCTGAACACCCCGCTACTCGCACAAGATGAGTTGCCTCTTGCGGCGACCGCGATGAAAGAAGAAATGAAATCAGAGAAGACAAACGCCCTATAACAATTTCTCTGGGATTGTTTCCATTCCAGCGTCCACTGGGAAGTGATCGATCGCTGTGCACGATCTCGTCCCCGACTAATTTATCAATCCGAGATCAATGGTGCTCAGTCACTTACTTCGCCTTAAGTCAGTACCTCTCCCGCCACAACGGTTTCAAAGAATTCCACTTACCAGACCAATCTGCTCCATGCACCCATCCCCTAATTCGATTCAATCTCCATTCCATCATACTCAGACTCCTCCCACTTGCCCTCAAAATCCTCCTTCTCACTCTTCCAATTCGTCCGCTCCTGATGCACGCCATCCGGACTCTCGCCCTCCTTCATTTGCTCGCCTCCATCAATTGAGAGCTTGTAGCTCGCCTTACCTTCGTTGGAGCCCTCACGTATTCCATCGGCGTCGGCAATGTTGTGCAACAGACCATCGGGGGCGTGGGCGTGAGGGCTTGGTTGAAGGTAGATATGGAAAGTGTTGGTTTGGTACGTTTCGTCATCGGTCTCGCTATCGGAGGAGGATGTAGAGGTAAAATCTGAAGAGTCAGAAGCCTGGATATTGGGCTCAAGTGCGTTCTCCTGCCTTCGCCAGGCACGAAGAACCTGTTGGGGCGCTTTGACTGTAACTTTCTTTTCGCGATGCACATCAGGTTTCTCGGTCGTAGTCTCGGTGACGGTGGCAGTATCAGTAGTCTGTTCATAGTCTGTCTCAGTCGCCATGACGGTTTCCTTCCCCCACGGCCGCTTGAATTTAAGAGAAGAAAGTGAAGAGAGATCTTGTGAGCAGTAATCCACGTCATCATGCCAGCAACCAGGGGTGTAATCTGTTGTAGGAGAGTGAGACTCTAATTTCTCTGAGTACCAGTGGGTCCCAAAAGGTGTATTAGTGTAAGGCCTTGGGGACGGCCTAACAGGATGGGGAGGGGTTGGGACAGGGATTCTATGCCCACCAGGCGCAATATAGCGGGTCACGAAACCAAAAGGTCCGGATTTGTTGGTATCAATCGCCATATAAACCTGGAAATTCACAAGAGGCTCGACAAGGAAAGGGACTGGTTCTCCGTTCGCGTACAGCTGGCAGAGGCCACTGTTCCCAAGAGGCGAACATGTCTGAACCATCCATTCATCGGCACCGTAAGGATGTTCTTGGTTGAGTTTTCGGATAGGGAGATACTTGCCAATGTAGGACCCGACCTCGTGGGCAGACATGGCATAGATTCCGATTTGGGCGAGAGCGGGAGCATCCCTTTCGAGCTCCCTGATAAACTCCATGTACAGCTCGCGGATACGCTCAGGATGAGAAGTGTGAATGACTACATTACGTCCATTGACCCATTCAGTTGCGGCAGGGTATTCCCCTACGGCTGGGCTGCGTTCGATAACTATGATTTTATCAGTATTTATAAGATAAACGCATTTAGGGGGCATATATCACCTGCGGCGGCATCCCCTTTTTGGTCGGTGGCACTAATATCATCGGGGAAGAAGATCGGGGGATTCCAGGCCTTATCATCATATCCTTCATCGGAGCTGCTCGTATCAGGATCCTTTTCCCAAGGAAATTGAAACGGAGGCTTGTCAGACTCGCTGCTAGTATCATCCGTCACAGTATTCTCACGCAATATCAATTTCTCGGACCTGTGGAAGTCTTCACTCTCCGCAATAGCAGCTTGGCGTTCCATAGTGATGATGAAATTTTCGAGCTCACTACGTTTGGCATTCTTCCTCTGTTCTTTGAAAGTGAGTGTGACTTCGTCCATGACCTCGCGAAGGAGTCTAGTGGTATTATCCGGAAGCGTAGGACCAGGAATGAGTTTGTAAATGAACTCCTGAATGGCTTCGTCCAAGGGGTTAATTCCATTGCCATTATCCACGGAGTTAGGGATCACGGAGACATCAGTAGGCTCGGTGACTGGGCTGCGAGGTCTAGTAGCATTGGAGGCACGCCGACATTCTGAAATGAAATTCCCAACCTCTTTCCTCGCCTCTGGGGGACCTTTATCAGCGCCGGATTCTTCTATGGAAACGTCAATATGGTCTTCTAAAAAAGGCTCTTCATCGCCAGAGTCAGGGGCCGTAGGAATGTGAGGGCTTTCAACGGCGAGGCTACGAGCATGCCGAAGCGTTGAAGACGTGCTGGCATACAATTTTCCGACCATGGCCGAAGGTTTCTTGATCAAGATGGCGCCCCAAACTTCGGCATCGTTGTTCCCGGGCGGTCCGCTTGTAGCCTTGAGATAACAAGCACCAGTGTCAGGGATGAAGCTCATACCCACACAGTGGTATGTCTCACTGCACCTGCTCATGCATGTCTGGAAGTCGGGCACGTAGCGAGGATTTGAGGGCATGTTGACGCCGGTGCGGTCGATGTTACATTCGATCTTGAAGGTGGAGTTTGTGTTGATAACAAAGCGCTGACCGTCGTAAATCGGACACTCGGGTAAAATGGCGGAAGCTTGGTGGACAGGGGCAGCTTTTGAAGTCATTGTGAGTGTTGCTAGGGCGAGAAGCCCGGCTTTCGGGAGGAAGATCATCCTGGAAATTCGTCGGCGGATAGCTGATCTGGCGTATTGTCAGGTCCTCAGCGTTACAGAATAATGACCAAGGAGTTGTCGATAGATACCTTTCTACTGCAAGTTCAAAGGCTGGCAGAAGTCCTAGGTAAGAAGCGTGGAGGGGGGGTGTTCGAATAATGGAGAGGGAACATAGGCACAATAAGAGCAGACCGGGAACTGGAAAGGAGGGTAGGGTTGTAAAATTGTAGAGACCATTTTCCACCACTATGCTATCCATTCTCCAATAAACATTGAGCCTGAAAGTATTGGAGTGGTTAGGGTGACACTACCACAAAAAAAATTCGTACATCCGAATGGATGACTTACTAAACCCCCTGGAGAAAGTATCAGGCCTCTGTGCGATATTTCGACCATGTGGCTATTCCGAGGGAGTAGCGAGTCCAGAGTTCAGGCGTAGTGTCTTCTTCATTGGCATTCTTGTTTCGTTTGCGATGTTGTTGGTCCGGAGCCGGAAAAGACTAGTATTGATAAATGGCGCACGAGGCCACGGAACCCAATGCCAACAATCATCGCGTAGAAACATCGTGGTAGACGCTCAACACGTGCATAACGCAATGTGTTTGTTGAAAGGGTCCAAGCGACCAAACCGGAGGAATAGGCCTGGGAACACTAGAGCGTCCGCCAAAGTCAAAACCTGAAGCTGGCTGCCCGCCTGTGCGAGCCAATTCCAGCCTCTCCCCGCGCATGAGCCGTCGCCCCATCATCTTTGATGAGTTTCAAAGGCCGGTATCGTGCATCCCACATCTGTTCGCGAATCCATTCTTCTAGATCAGTATCACCTGTGGGGATGTTCTTCTCCTGCGCTAAACCTTCCTCCACCGCAGCTTTAATGACATTTCTGGCGATCTGTACGCTGACCTCTCGGACATCCGCGACATCCGGAAGTAAGCCACCTCCTGTGCCATTAACAGCAGGAGCAGTCGATGCCAAAGCCTTGACCGCGGCGACAAGGAGAGAGGGGGGAAGAAGTCGAGTGCGACTGAGAATAGCACCCAAGCCAATGCCCGGGAAAGTAACAGAGTTGTTGCACTCGGCTAATCATGGTTAACCCAGAATTCAGCACACAACGAGTATCTCCAACTTACAAATCTCATATTCCTTTCCCTGGTACTTCGCGGGAGGGAAAGGCGAGCCGGTTGCTACGAGCGCCTTACCCCTGGTCCAATCGAAAAGATCTTGTGGTTTCGCTTCATGAAGCCGAGTTGGGTTGGAAAGCGGAAAAATGATCGGCCGCTCAACATGTCTTGCCATTTCTTGGACAATATCTTTAGTAAAAGCCCCTGGAACGGTTGATGTGCCGATGAGAACATGCGGCTTGACTTCCTTCACAACTGAAAGTAATTCTCCATGCTGTTTTCCCTGCCACTCACCATCATCACGAGCATATGGAATTTGGGCTGGAGTCAGCTGATCCTTCTTCGACCTCAAAAGCAGGCCAGGTTTATCAACACACATATTCAAAGTCAGTGGGGCAGCACAGAATCGGGGTCCCAACATACCATATTTGACGATCAGCCTCACCCTTAGACTTGCCAGTCTCGTGAGCGATGGCGTCTTTAATTTGGTCCGCGATGCCAGTACCTGCAGTCCCTGCGCCGAATATCACAAATCGGGCATCGCCCCATTGCACGCCTCCGACCTTAAATGCAGCCATGATAGCCGCAAGCGTGACGCAGCCAGTCCCTTGCACGTCGTCGTTGAAACAGGCAATCTCCGGTTGGTACGTATCAAGAATGCGCCGCGCATTGTTTAGCCCGAAATCCTCAAAATGTAAGTATGCCTTGGGGTATCGTTTCTTACAGGAATTGACAAAGGTCGACACAAATTTATCATACTTGTCTCCTCTGGCACGAGGCTGCCTGAGGCCCAGATACAAGTCATCGTCTAGAAGCTCCTTATTCTAAGACAGGGTCAGGATACATCTACCAAAGCACCGATGCACTCACATTTGTCCCACAATCCAGCACCACAGGCAGTGTCCTCGAAGGGTGGATTCCTGCACATAAGGTGTAAATGACCAGCTTCGCGATGCTAATGAGAATCCCGCCCACGCCCTGATCGCCGATGCCTAGAATCTGCTCGCCGTCGCTGACTACGATAAGGTCGATGTCATCCGGGTCGCCCCACTGATCGATGTTGTCATCGATGCGGCCTATATCTCCGATATTCAGGAAGCATCCCTCGGGTCGCCGGAACAACCGTGAATAGTTTTGGATGGCGTCACCCTCAGTCGGAGTATAGATGACGGAGAACATCTCTTTTATGTGGTCTTGGATGAGCCGGTAGAATAGCACCTCATTCTGCTCCATCATGCTTGTCATAAAAGTGTTCTTCGCCAGATCATTCGGTCTTGAGCTGTACTGTTCGTATGCGCGCTGTACCTGCTCTTCAAGGGTCTGGATGTTGGGCGGAAGGAGGCCATGAAGCTTGAACGTCTTTCGTTCTTCCCTTGTGAAACCTGAGCCTTTGTTGAAGTAGGGGGTTCGGAGGAGCGCGTTGCCCTAGGATGGAGTAGTTAGTGGTACCACTTCCCCGGCCTTTATACCGAGCTATACCGTCAACGACGTCTCTTGAGCGCCGGATGTCGAGAGAGGCAAATTGCCAAATTTAGGGTGCTTCTGTTCTTTCAGGTGAGGTGCCATAGTGGAGATGACGTGAAGTCGGCGGCGGGGTAACGATAATACACGCAGGAGGGTCGCGGACGTTGCTCGCCGTATTATAGACACTCCGATTTATATCGAACACGAGGCCAACCCTGAATTAACTACTTCGGAAAGGCCCCAATCCTTCCGCGCGATGCTTCATGCCTTGCTCTAAAGGCTACAAGAAACAGGGGGATGTGTCTGGCAGCATCATGACGTCGGACCTGAACGTCCACTAAGAGATGGAAGCAACAACCGGATCTGGAGTTTCGAAGCCCGTGAGTTCCAATTGGTTGCCAATATCGGGGCCCAGTCGCATCCAAAGTGCTCAGTAAGACGCTGAGGGATGAGTAACGGCTTAGCTGAGGCTCCAAAAAAAAAACTCTAGCAGGGTGCGGCACCGTTTCCACCTTATCGATAGCGATTGTGGCACCAGAGCTTTTGACACTCCACACTCTTCACACTCTCATGATCATGATCATGCAAGAGCTCAAAGAGGCGGGAAAATTCTCACGGCATATATTGACAGCTCGGCTTTGTTCTCGATAATTTAAGTTTTCGGCGTCCTTAAAGCTTCACGCAAGCCCAAACAGAAACTTTCGCTCCTCTATCGACCTTTTCGAGTGGACATTTGAAGGGTAGAAGCTAATATTCTTCTATATGTTTCAGCATGCCAGGATACTGACGCGGAAGGCAAGTTGCGGAGCTTCACCCAATGTTTGGACCAGGAAATGGATATGGAGATTGTTAAGCTAGTGCGGCATACAATCCGCTATCTCTGGTTTAAAGACAAATCTCAGATAGCTGAACGTAAGATTTCAACTTCTTTACTTCTTTAATCAAGACAATTCTTACATCAAATTAACTGAAAGTACTGATGTCTTCTCTAGTGTATTCTACTATAGTCTCATTTTTTATATATTTTGTATTTCTACACAAGGTTTTAAGAAGTAAGGTTCTGAAGAGAATGTTTTATAAAGGTTAAAAACACCAAGTAATGCTACTACGCTAGCTCTTTACACCACCCTAATTTAAAATTAAATTTTATTAAGACTAAAATACCTTGCTTAGTCTAATTATAAGTAATAAGACTACAGCTTGATGGTTTTACAAGCATTGTCACTTAGTCAAGCATTTCAAAGCCTCATGATATGATGGATGAAATACGACGGCTCTTCCAGTTATTTATTTACTAGACAAAATTGTACTCCCTTGCGTAGTGCGTTATTTAAGAAAGCTATAATTTTGCAGTAGCTAAGTTTAGCTTGAGCATTGAAACGTGAGTGCACCTAAATCACCAGTCATACTCCCCAGTGCATGACATGCGAATATTAATCTAAGGAAGGACAAGACGGGAAAAGAAAATGAATGAAGGAGAATAGAGCTTTGTTGGTAAACCGGGTCGACATATGGTGGGAAGATGGATTGCAGACGTGCGTAATTCTCATCATGGGGCTTCGAGAACAGGACTCCCTTCCAGCAGCGAAACATTTCACCAACGGAGAGTATAATTTCCTGGCAGCGGCCGCTTCACTGATTTGGGTTGCTGGTGTTGGCACAATCGACGCCTTATACGTCGACCCGAAAGACTAAAAATCTTTTTCGATCCTTGGATTCTTGATGTCCCACCATTATTAAACACCACGCAACGTTAGATATAACGTTAGACAAATCCTAACACTACCAGGCGCTTTACTAACAGTTTCAAAGAGAATTTAACACTTATATGACACCCTTATAGTACCCTAACGTCACGAACCGCACTAGGAGCAAGAGGGACTGAGACCCTTCCTACGTTACGCCTCGGTCCGCAATACAGCCAACAGTACGACTTCTTCCCCGGGTATTTTAACACTTGGAGAGGTTTTGAACACCCTTTTGGTAATACTCCCCTCAAAAATATCATTTACCCCATTGGGCCTTGATCCATTCGGAAAACCGGCAGGCTGTCCTAGATACCGAATTTTCATTCAAAACTCTTTTCGCAGCATTATATTCTCTATCATTGGCTTCCTTGACCTCGTAAACTAGTTTCTACTTCGCCGCTTCGTCTCTCACGGAATGTATGTCTTCGCAATTCTCCCTAATATCGGGAGTGAAGCCTTTCCCCAAGAACTCTCAAAGAGGATAGAAGCACATAGACAACATACCGACTAGATCCAGCACATGGAGACTTGAGCTCGCGGGCAAAGGGCTGGTCCACTGGCCCTATCAGAACTCACGTACTAGAACCTAGAGACACCAACTATGTCACCATCGGCGCCGTATCCTTCAGCATCCGAACAGCTACGCAGTCGCTCACCTTCCGCACTACTCCCACCCTCCACTCCCCACATCTTCTTTCTTTTGAATCCGAACGATTTAACTGGCACTGGATGTACGATAATGTACTGAGAGTTCTGGACGATTTGGTAGATCCGTGGCTCATCGATAAGCGTGGTGGAGGGGAGATGCCACTACCGAATCTGCCAGAGCTATCACCATGGGGGATGATCGCCAGCATCGAACACGGGTCACTAAGGATACCCTCCCCCGGCTAGCGCTGCTGCATAATCCCAATCTCCGCCACGTTACGAACACTACCGATCAAGCTCGTGGGGGACGAGGGGCCATCTCTCGCTGTTGAGGAGTCTTGTGAGAACTTGGGGAGGAAAGGAGGCGGTTAGGACTTTCCATGAGTGTGAAATTAGCCTAAACCTAGAATTAATTCACAACTTACAGCAAACTGAAACCCGTCCATGTAAAGTTCGAAATGGACTAATAACATGATACTGTAGGTCTAGAGAGGGAGCAGAACAGGGACAGTCTAAAATTCCCCTTACCCATAAGACATCTACTGAGATACCTTTTCTTTAGCTAACAAAGTTCGGGTTCTTCTTTATTGAAAGTTTTGCCTGTACTTGAGATTTAACATTCACTACACATTATATGGTCTTAAAGGGAAAGGAGTAATTTGTTGATATCATGTTAATCTAACGCTGAGAGAGCTAACAGAATGAGGCAGTTAGCAATTCTCCTTGCCCGGGATGCCTCCGGCAGAGTGGCCAACAGGACGTAGTACATTTCAGTAGGTGTAAGGGCGGGGCTCGGCACCACTTCACCATCACAACCAAAAAGGTATGAATACTCAACCAACGGTTGATTCCCGTGCGAAATAGTATATATACCTTACAATTGGCACTTTGGTATCTCAATACTTTTCACTTTGTTAGCACTCATGTAGGGAGGGGGTACTAGATTGGATAACCGTAATAGTTCAATTCGCCCAAACTTTTCAACCTTTGACCAATTGATACAACGTAGCGTTTGGAGTATTAGCAGAGACCATCTTTATTTCTTCCGCGAGCTTACTGCTTGCAGTTATGGAGCTTGACAAACTCCACCAATTGCTCATATTCACCAACCACTTGCGACCTAGTTCACTCTGTATATAAACCCTTAAGTACACTTCTTTAGCAATCAGCTTAGTTCCTCATAGTTTTGGTGCTCCCAAAAGCCTCACACTCACTCGAACGACTCAGCGACGGAGCTAATTCTTCTAGAGTTGAAGCGCTTTAATCGTTGCCCCAGTAAGCAGGTTCATATTTAAAGTAACAACGCTATTGACTCTACCAACTAAGGGCTAGATAATGCGTTGCTAAAGGACATACCATTGCTGAGTCTTGGCCACTCCTCCTTTAATTAGGCAATAGCAAAACTCGCAGGTAAAGCGGAGCTACCAAGATTTCGACTACTTAAGGGGACCAAAGCTAGAGCGATAGGATACAGACGAGCTTAAAGCCCTAGATGAGGAGTTTTGCATTAACCGGAGAGCTTGGAGGAAGATTGACATGCTCATAGTGATGGGTTTCAAGGGAAATGGGACGATAATGAAGATTTATGTGAGATGCTACCCGTTTTTACATATTAATACCATGGGAGGCGATACAGAAATCTCTCTTGTTGTACTACAGAAGCACGTTTAACAGTAGCACAGAAATCCACTAATAGGCAATTATTACTCTAAAATAGCTTATTTTAAAGGTATTATGGGCCAACCCCTTAGCTCCACCAACTATAAGAAGCGGCTCACAAAGTTACTACATTTGTGCACCTCACGTGACCGCACCATAGTGAAACGTGCCGTTCGTAGTACGTTCCGTTGACTACCCTGGCCTCCGGCACGCTATGTTTCCTTTGACTAAGAAATTCTAGGTTCCCATTCTTCGAAGAAGCAGATAGAACTAATGGCTTAATTATCTCTCAAACCTAAATCGACATTAACCCAAGAAAAATAACACCTGGTCAGTGACATATCAACAAATATCCAAGAGGGCTACCGGAACAGTTACAGTTTGCAATTGTTCCTTGATCGTACGTATTATCTCCACTGCAGCGCCTTTCTTATCACCACCAAGTTAACCCACACACCATCTATCAATCGGTAAAAAAAAGAATGCCTAGTGTTGGTGAACCGACGATTTTGGCATATCTTGTCTAAGATACAAGTGCTACGCTTTACCACTTAACTAGCCGGGCTGCCTCTTTGGAATTAACTAGGAGATTTGAGAGTTTTTGTGAATTTATACTCAGAGCTGGAAGAAAACAAAGGGAGAATAGCATGGGAACGAATGAGCAGAGACGGAATGAGTAGTGTAGATTGACCCAGTTCTAGATACAGATTTCCATCACCACAGTGGCTTCAAGAAGTGACGAACATGACTCCACGGATGCATAAGTTTGAATTAGTGGGCTGACTAGTGTTCGGAATAAGCCGAATCAGAAGTAACCTCTTCTAGACTTTTGCGCTGGATCGGTCGGCAATTCTATGCATGACACTTTGTGTGAAAATACGGGCAGTCTCCTCTTGTCTTGATCACAGTCATGATCTCGATGAATCTAAAATGATGGACTCTACAAACTTAAGTCTACATTCTAAAAAGGAGCCATGTGTTCGGAATGTTTTGGATCTCAGAGTTAAGAGACCTCTAGTTGATGTAATCACTGGTTCATAGCTCCAAAAACATACATTCGAGCCGAATCCTGTCTGCAACAGAGTTTAGCACATATGAGAGCAGAGATAACATATAGCCTTGTGCTTGAGAGCCTTCGATAGGCAATGCTTCAGCCCTCGAGACTAACGTTGATGGATTGGGCTGATATGGCGATTGATTTCAAGTTTGCTATTCCTCAAAGCGATGACGTCCATTTGCATTAGGCTTGGGAAGAAGCAGGTAAAGCCCCCAGTGATACCGTAGCGTTCGGCCCGAGGGGACCCTTCGTTCCTTCCTCACCCTCTCGTCACCCAGCGGCGCTCAGTCTTTCGAGAAGCCACACTTCCTTCACTGCAAAACGGCCACAGCAACGCCGAGCCCCGCTGACTAACCAAGCCCCTCCCTATAAAGAGTCGCCAGCTCTCGCAGACCCTTTCTCTTCCTTAAACTTACCTTGTCAGGGTCACCGAGCTCAAGAAGTCGGTCGACCAACCTGTGATCAGCGCATTGCACAGTGCGGACCGGTCTGGGTTCGAGGTTGGCCTCGGCTGCTTCGCTGGCGCAATTTTTGCTGGCCTACCGAACATTTCTTTTCGTTGACCTGGTCGCCTCGTGCGGTGGGTTGAAGAAGAGAGTTAGCTGAGGGGTTAGCTTGGACGGTAGGCTGCTGCGAGTCCGTGTTGGTGAAGACAGGTTGGAGTGAGAGACTGCTTTGTCGTCTAGGCATTTTGTAGAGGGCATACAGCTTAGCTGACACATTTTTCTATGAGGTTCATAGAGCCAGCTAGTTCAGCATCCCAAGGTCGCGATGTAGGCGTCGTAAAGATAAGGCACCACGACGGCTTTCAAAAGTTGCGTTGTTGCACGGGATTGCCCTTGATCCAGCGCGCCCTGATCACCTACACATATGTAGTCTAGTGAAGGCAACATGCGCTGTTGAGTGCCGTAAGTTGCCCCCAAATACCCCCAGCGGCCGTGTTCATCGTAGTGATATGGCTGCGAAAACCTCTCCGATAGCCTACCTACCGGGAAGGCGCGACCACCTACCGTCTAAGGGTCAAGTAGTAACCAAGACCATACATCTCTCTCCTTCAATCTATAAACCATGGGGGGGGCATTTTATCGTTGATTACCTAGATCTTAAGTTATTTGGGTCAATTAACAGAGAAGAGGATATCCGTAACCCAGACTGCTTGCTAGTGACGATCCCTGGACCATGAACCTCCTTCCTCTGTCGACAGATGGCAGGAATCATTTGGTAATATTAAAAGATGGCATTATCTCATTGGTGAGCGACTTTTTGAGCCTCATAGCATTCATGAATTCTGCTGTGATGCTTTTCGCCTCTCCCCACTAATTACACTTCTTCGAAATGTCTAGTTGAACGAAGGGCAGAGCGCAGGAAGATTGACCGTCTATCATTCTAGAAATCTGTACGCTGCAGATTTAGAGATGTTCCTCCGCGTGCATCGTCGTGTTGCGGTGTGCTCTTACTAACCTCTACTCCATGAGCGGTTCTCGGATTGGCTAAAAGCTCAGGTAGACCGAGAACAGCAGGCAAACAACGCGTGAGCTCCGAAACAACTTCTCCCAGGCACACTTCCAAACACGCCTCCTCCTTCCGTTTGTGGATATCCTCATTGCAGAGCCAACGAGGGGGCAGCTCTTTTGCGGTGAACGGAGCTACCTCCAGCCAACGAACGTCCTTTAATCACATCGACCGATCTTCACTTCAAAGAGCATCAATACTTCTACTCAATAAGGTGCTCTACACCAATTCCTGGCTCTGTCACTGCTGAAGAGAAAGTCTCTCACTCAAGGCTGCCAAGTGGAACCGGAGTTACCATCTTCATGTGTGAACACCAAGTCTTTAAGAGTCCATCAACCAAGATCTCGTTCACAATCTGCCTTTATTTCGACCGGACTGCACGTATCTCTTTACTTCCCTCTTCTCTTTATCGACCGTGCCCTACATCTTGAACGCCCTTTCTTTAGGTGTGCAACACTATCGCTACTACTACCACCGCCTTCATCGCTACACACGAGCCCAGTCAGGAAATTCGCGTGCGAACGTCGGAGAGACCCTCGAACACCAAAGTTACAGGAGAGGTCTCTGAGAAGACCCTCCCCCAGAGTCGTCTCACCTTCACCTACCCAGCACACGAATCCTCGACGACATGGCGTCACCTCCAATCTTCATTCAGAGCAGCCAAACGGTACTAGAGTACACACAGGAGCAACGAGAGAAGAAGGCTGTCAACAAGCGCACCGCAGCCGCGGAACTCCAAAGGATCAATGCATGGAAGAAGTCCCATGAGTCAGGTAAATACTGAGCATCAGGTTTTTTACCCATGCTAATGTTCCTAAAGATCCGAGGCTGAAGCCCCTTCCTCCGATCCCTGATTGGGAGATGACACACGACAAATCATGCAAGAGAATTGGCGATATACTGATAAGGCCGTTTAAGCGGAGAAAGAAGAGCAACACTGAGAGTGAGGATGTTGACTTCAGTGTGATACTTGGCAGCCCATTGGAGAAAGATAAAGATATGGGAGCGAGACGCTCAAACGGAGGAGATGGATACGGAAGCGGAGATGAGAGTGACATGACGGCCTTGCCTCAAAGCCCGTATTGGGGAATTCAGAAGGAACAGGAACCGTTCCTCTCAAGGAAAAGGGCGAATAAGTTATCAAAGAAGAACCCTGATAGCTCGAGAAGGTAGCGGCTTCGGCTGCGATGGAAAGTATGTAATCTTGGTGGCAATATGGAAACGACCGGATACACAACTCCGTGAGCACAGGGAAGGAACGTGGGAACCTACTGATATAACGACAAAGAAATCCAAAAAGTTCTTCATGCTGCTCGACTTCAACATCATTTCTCTCCTTCCAGTGACTCTCTACAACTCCGCGCTCCATCAAACCCACCTGATACCCCGCATGCAAACGCCCTTCGGCCGTTCTTATCCCCCAGGACCACTTGTTTCCGATACCGGACATTCTACAGGTTACAAATTATTTCGGCTTGTCAAAGAACGGGCTAAGTTGAAGTGTTGTTGGATTAGAGCTGTGGCGGCTGGGTACATGCGGATGAAATGTGTGGAGGCCGAGAGGTGGAATAGATCGTCCCTTGAGCCGTGCTGGCGACTAACGCGACCTGGCTTCGTGTTCGTTGGAGAAATTGCCAAGTAGGATCTTAAAACCGGGATTACCATCTGAGGATATGACGGCCATGAAGAAGCACGAGGGAGCCAATTGAGGTCAATTGATGATAATCCTGTGATCCAGAACAGGGGTTCTGGCCAGCTGTCAACCGACCTCAAGGCTACTTCACAACATCAACGATCTTGGCACAATCCACCCTGCAATCCTCCACAGCCACTTCCAACAATGAAAACCATCATTATCTTGCTTGTGCCGCGCCCCAACGGTGCCAGCTCCCCCGATTGACGAGAAAGCGGGGTTGGCCAATGGCAAAGTGTTAATGGTGCGATAAGGCAATGCCGAGTGTATTGAGCATCAAGGTGCATGCCGACGGAAGCCGCACTCATGATGCCGTGGGACATCCACGGGTCAAAATATGGTTTGTTTTTTGGTACGTAAACCTTGGGATATAAAGAGCCTCTAGATTTTGCTGATGATGTGAAGTTGTCTTCGAGAGAAAGTGTGGTACGCTGGCTTAGGTCGTGCCAATCACCACTGACGATATCCTACTTACTGCCTAAGTACAGTACAAAAGCTTGGGAACCCATCAAGCTCACAACCGCCGTCTTCACGCCCAAACCTCACTATGGGTCCGCGAGTTCGAAGCCTTCGACATTTCGAAGGCATTGCCCTTTCACACAGGACCGTTTCACAAACTCCCCGCTTCGTGCACTCCAGCTCACGTCGCCACGTCTCTGCTGCTCCAACGTCACCAACTTCTTCCTCACATCTCCTCTCTAATTCGCCACCCACAAGGTCACCGCCGACACCGTCCCGACTCGCTCGCCTCCCAACTTCGTCAGTCCTTCGCTCCTACCTCATTACTGGAATGTCATCGTCGCCTGCCCTCCTTTCACTATGCTTCACTGTCCTGCGGCGAATGCTCGATTCCAAGTCCTTCCTCATGAGCATCGAACGGAATCCAGTCCTTGCAAAACTTCTGAAGTCAACGTTCTATGCACAGTTCTGCGCCGGTGAGACATCGAAAGAAGTTAAGGTGAACACGACTGCCGCACGTGATGTACTGGGGTACGATGGGATAATCCTTGAATACGCTCTTGAAGTGCTAGGAGGAGGTACAAGCCAGATCACAGAAGAAGAGACAGCGAAGGAAATTGAGGTTTGGAGGAAAGGCATGTTGGAGTCTGTTGAGGTGGCTAGGGAGGGAGATTTCATTGGTTTGAAGTGAGTCCATGCATCTCGCCCCTTCTTTCCAGCTGCTAATGTGATATAGATGGTCTGGCCTCGGTCGCCGCGCGCTCCAGCTTCTGAAATCCCAAGAAGATGCCACACCAGCTATGTGGTCTGCCATTCTCGCGGCCTGCGATGCCGCGGCCGCGAAGAACGTGGCACTCCTTCCCGGCGCCGAAGAAGAATCCACAAACCCTGGTCTTGATAAATGGACATTGGCTCTCCAGAAGAAATATAACACCCCAGAAAGCGGCCATGCCATCATCTACTCAACCTACCAATGCTACCTTAAATCCACACCCATAAAACTCGCACAACATCTCGCACAAGCAGAGCGGGAGGGATATATCGCCGGTGTAAAGCTAGTTCGTGGTGCATATCTCGCATCCGAGCCACGGCAATTAATCTGGAACACAAAAGAAGAAACTGACGCATGCTATGACGCCTGTGCCGAAGCCGTCCTCAGACGCCACTGGACATCCAGTATCCTCCCACCTCCACCACCATCTCATTCAACCTCAGCATCCACTCCCACCTCCACCTCCGCCTTCCCCAACGTCAACATCGTCCTCGCAACCCACAACCACGCTTCCGTCCAACGCGCCCAAGCAATACGATCTTCACAGCTGCTTTCCTCGTCCGCGGAGTCCCTGCCGCGTCTCACGTACGCCCAGCTTCAAGGCATGGCAGATGAGATCAGCCAAGAACTCGTGCAAGCCGCGGACAAGAAAGCAGATGTCCAGGCTAAGGTTGTGAAGTGTATGACGTGGGGTACTACTACCGAGTGCTTGAATTTCCTGTTGAGGCGGGCAAGCGAGAACAAAGAGGCGGCGTTGAGGACGGAGGATACGAGACGCGCTATGGGTAAGGAGTTGTGGAGGAGGGTCAAGGGTGCTTTTGGGGTAATCTAAAGATAAAGGGAGGGAAGGATTGGGGCAGGAAGAGGGGCGTAAGTGGGTTTGTGCTCATAGTGATCGTGGTGTTTGCGGGTCGGTCATGGAGGATGAGTGTACATTTACGTGGCATGATCGTGTTTGTTTCGCAAGCGGCATCAAGATCCTTTCTGCTAGAAAAGGGAGAATGAAGCATATGTACATGATTCAACGACAATGGCCGGAATGAGGAATTAGGAAACGAAATCTCACGGCCTTGACTCAACGGCTGGGATGCCAATAGATATTTAAATCTCTAAATGGTATCTACTCCAAGTAACTTCCTGAGACGCCTCGCTGGATGTGAGCATTACCTAGATTACATATGGTATTTGAAAACTAATACCAACACAAGATATCTTGTCACTATCTTTCTTTCCTTCTCTTTTTCTTGTCGACAGCGTTATGTCCAATCACCTGCAGACGTAACTTTGTCTTATCTATCTTCTCCCCCTGAACCTTCTCCGACTTCGTCAGTTTACCTCCCTCCCACTTTCCCTTTTTGTTCGTTTTCTCATCGACACTCACCTCACCTCCAACAAAACCCTCCAACGTCATCCCAACGCAACCCCCAACCACAACCACAACCCAAGCAAGATCCAACACATGAACCCCCCACCACCAGTGCTGAATCCCAAACCCACACGTCTGAAACTCAAGTCTCCACTCCCCGTGTTCGCCCAGGGAAGCGTCAAACCAGGCGGATAGGAAGCCAGCATGGCCGCTAAAATCGCCCATCATGGAACGGAGTGTGATTTCGCGGATGTGGGGGATAGATGGGGAGGTGCAACTTGTAGGGGGAATGGGGAGAGGGTTGGGTGGGTTGGAGGGCGAGGTTGGGAGGCGGATCGCCCGCCAGTGAGGTTCGCGTTTCGGTGAGGATTCAGGGTCGGGGATTGCTTGATTAGACACGTCGGGGTCGGCGTCTGTGGACGAAGCACCCTCAGTCGCAGTCGCAGAATCAGGGGCCTCATACCACTTCGCACATTCTCCGTCCTCCTCTCCCATCCGTGGAAAGTAATGTAGCACATCACACCCCTCATGATCATGTCCATTAATCACCACACCCCTTCTCCCTAGGCCCTGCCCCTCGGCACCTTCATTCCCACTCAACCCAAATATTCCCTCCAGAATCCCCTTACTTGAATGCTCACTTAACATATTCTGCTCCTTGACACCAGACCCTGTGTCGAAGAAATCGAAAAAAGGCGAGTCGACACAGATGCCGGGTTCTTTGTACAACGGGATGTGAGTGAGTAAGATGGTGGCATGGGTTTTGGAAGTTACGGGGCGAGATGTGGAGATTACGTGGTTTAGGAAGGAGTAGGTTTGGGTTTGGAGGGAATGGGAGAGGGCCGGGGTGTCGAGGTTCATGGAGTTGAGAATTATGAGGCGGAGAGCCGGGGGATCGGTTTCGTTGTTGTCATTGTTATCGGCATCGCCTAGCGTAGTATTCGAAGAAGGTGAAGAGATATTGGTGCGAGGAAGTGTGAACCAGATATCCCAATTCACTTTCCCAAAAGCGCGTTCGAATCGCTCGACACGGCCTTCGTCCAAGTCTCCTGCATATCCAATATCATGATTCCCGGCGATATTAATAACCCTGTTTTCCCAGCTCTTATCTTCGCCCAAAACCTCGACCCTCCCGCCCCATTGTCTCCCCTCCTGCCCCTCCTGCCCCTCCTCCCCAGCAGCTCCCCCCATAATCCCTTCCCCCACCACGCCCAGCCCCCCGAAAACCCTTTCCCAAAACCTCCTCCCCCTCCTCTCGAATTCCTCATTCCCAATCCATTGACTCCCCAATAAATCCCCCAACACACTAACATGCGACGGGCGAGTCCACCATCTCAAACACCGCACAATATGCGCCAGATACCAATCATTGCCCCAAAGATCTAGTCTCTTCCTTTGCAGCCTGACCCACTTCCAACTTTCCTTGGGCAAGCGCCGCGAGTAATCCGACAAGGCGGCGCGGAGGAGGTATTGCCGTCGCGACCACGAGCCCGCGAATCGCGCATCGTGGACGATTGTTGCAAGAGATGGGAGGGAGTGAAAAGAGGGCTTCGGAAGACTGGAATCGCCTTCGAGTTGCGGGTCGCCGAGCGCGAGGAGTCTAAACGGCGCTTTCGAGGTCGGCGTCCAGTCTGAGTCTGGTTGTGGAAATCTGCAGCCATGCCAGAGGGGATACGAATACAGCCATGTTGTCGAGATCAGGCAGAGAGGCGTGAGTAGCAAAGCGAGGCTGAACAAAAAGTGCGAGGCGTGCATCGATGCATTCTCGAGGGTTGAGAAAGTGGGGGGTGAAGGGGCTGGGTGAATTTCGTAGTGTCGGGTATGTTTGTTTAGGGGCTTGACAGGGATGAGGACCAATCAGATGGCGGGAGTTAGAACTGCAAGTAAAGTGGTCATAACATCGCCTCATGGTTGAGTGTTTTGTTTCCAAGTTGATGTTGATACCTATCGTATAACCACCGTCTGACTTCTCATGTTGCCTCGAATCCCTCATCCCTCACCTCACTCTTCAGGAGCCCGCTAAATGCGTGACCCATCCGCAAATTCTAAGCATCAAACAACTGAATCACAATCGTGCAAACTTCCACTCCTATTGACAAACAATCCGCAAAAAATAACAGCACCGGGACACCCCTTTTATCCCCTAAACTACCCCAAGAGATCGCCCAAAGCACCGCCTGGTCCTCCAGGCTTCTGTTGCGCTGGGGGAGTGCCCGAACTTGAAGCAGGAGCGCCCCAAATGCCAGCACTTGCTTTCTGTTTCGCCATATCTGCCAATGTGGCCTTTTGAGTCGGGGTAGCTGGCTTCTTTGGCGCGGATCCCGAAAGGAGAGCAGCGAAAGCGTCGCCGCCAGATGCCTTGGGCGCAGAAGAGCCAGGCTTGTTCCCGCCGATGGCCGGCGACATAATAGAAGGCGTGGTGTTAGTCGATGACGGCGCAGGAACTGAGGTGAAATAGTTGGGGCCGATGTTCCCGTAGCCGGCAGGACGGAAGGGCTGGGACATGCTTGGGGCTGTTGTTGCGGGAGTGGACACCGGAGGCGACGTCATCTTGTTCGCAGAGGGGGCTGGGGATACAGTAGCGAACAGGTCGTTCAAGTTGTTGTTCTGCGCAGCTGAGTGTGGCTGCGGCTGTGCAAACTGTGTCGAAGAGCCAATTGTATGTGTTGATTTGGGAGGAGCGATTGCAGGAGCTGCTGAGGTGTGTACGAACGATGCTGCAGGCACTGCCGGAGCAGCTGACTGGAAGTCGTCAAAATCGTCGTCATCATCCTGCGTAACTGGAGCAGCGGGTTGCTTTCCTGCGGGGGTGGATGCTGCTGGTGCGTCGTCGAAACTCAGTAAATCCACAGCAGGCGCAGCAGTCGTCGTCTTTGGAGGTGCCGTCTTAAGCCCATCTCGTTTGACGTGGCTGGATGTTGACGTTGTGTTCTCTTTCCTCCGTGGTGGAGAAGCAACTTCGCCCTCATCATACTCGTCGTATTCCTCGAAGCGATCTCGCCGAGCTTGTGTGTCCGTGAAGCTCGACTCATTCCCTCCGAATCCACCACCATCGCCATACACACCCCCAGTATAGCCACCATAGCCGGCCTCTTCGCTTCCAAATCCTCCATACCTGCTGCCACCGCCTCCTCCCCCTCCAGAGAAGCCTCCGCTGCCAGAGAAGCCACCGGCGCCCATGCCACCCTCAACGCCGCCAAATTTATTTCGATTTGCCCGCGCTTTCTTCCTCTCGGTACGAATTCGATCGACATCGCCTAGGAGTTCCGCAAGTTCCTTAGCTCGATTCCGCACGTTTATGCCCTGGTCCTTGCCGTTCTGGTCGATGAAGTGGAACTGGCGTAGCATCTTGAGGAGCGAGACATGAGAGCGCGCATCGTCGATGACCCGTTCAGAGCCATTCTTGATGAGGAATTCGAGGAGTTGGAGGGCCTGCACATGTCAGAAGCTGGTGTTGCCCAGAAAGACGGGTTTACTACTTTGTATATCTGTCTCCATTCTTCTGCCGCCTTTTCGGTGAAGCGCTTGTAGATCATGGGCATGATCTCGTTCAAGAGTTGGCTGTTTGAGTCAGGCCAGGTAGTTCCCAACTGATGGGGGAGGGCGCACTAGTTGAATGTTCCATTGGCAATTTCCTGCATCAAGGACGAGGATGCACCTGAAACCAGTTAGCCATTCAAGGCCCTCAGAATAAGATCTTCGGCCTGCCCACCCCACGGTTCGTTGTTTGTAGCCTCTCTCACCTTCGCCTCCATTTCGGTATAATTCATGACGGCTGTAGCACGCGTTAGCAAAGCATTCGGCCAGGAGTGGCATCCACCCCGGAGAGTTTACCATTCTGAACCTTTCGGACACCAGCCTTGAGGTCGTAGAGCGTGAGATTGCTCACTTGGTCCTTGAGACTCTGCAGGTCCATTGTAGTAAAAATTAGGGTGGGTGGTGGAGGTTTTGGTGTTCAGGGAATGTTGAAGTGGCAGCTTATTATTGAATGCTGCTTTGGGCGCCAGTTCGGAACGCCTGCTGTCGGAGCCCTGCCAAGCTGCACGTGGAGCTTTCTCTTCAATCATGCACCTCCAAGACGATACGACTCGACTGCTAAGTTACAATCTCTAGCGATACTGGCTGTGATTTTAGAGTTAGGATCAATTCGTTTGACATGGACACGCCAGTTGGACTAATCACGTGACACAGACTGAGCTTGAGCTTTCCAAAATGGTGGGACGAGAGAGGGCAGAGCTTGGCACCATGCGCAGGCTAAGGGCTGAACTCAATCTAGAAGGGTTGGCTCCCCGAAACACACAGAAATGTACGTTTAGGTTCTTTGTATTAGAAATCAATGGCAATTCCTCGATGCTGGATCCTCATCGGCTTCTCCCTTGATGCTGCCATGCTGGCTTGGCCCAGCGCTAGGACCATGATGGGCGCAGAAAATTTCACCAATCTTCAGCTCCTGCGACCATCCCATCGTCTCTCCCTGCAGGACGGACGCTGCAATCTCGCTGCCTCGATTCTTGTACCGTAGTTGCCTTCGCATCTTATACTGTTAGCAGCCCAATTGTGCTTCCCCCCTGGCCTTGTAGCCCCAATACCACCCCAGATCCGCTGTGCCAGTCGTACAGTCCTCAATTCGTAATTTCCTGGTTCTTCCACAGGTAATATCGCACGCCCCATCTCCCCCGCAGTGAACAGCAGCCTCGGGATCACTCTGCAGCTGCATCGGAGATGCAAACGCACTCTCAATCTCGCGCAGAATCAGGCTTGGCGGCGCGCTGACGGCATGCTGGAGGAAACAGTCGCGGGCAGTCCGGCGCTAATGCCTTTCACAGCCCCGCCATGTTGCCCCACCTCAGGTCGTCTCCCTCCCTCCTCTCGACTTTTCGCTCTGCAACAACCACGACACTTCGAACTCCTCTCAACAAACGCTTCTTTTCCCCATCAGCAGCCAACATGGTCGTCAAAGTCTACTTCGACTGCACCTGGACGGGCCCCAAGATCACCGTCGACAACAAGGGCGAGGTTACCTCGACGGGCGAAGTGACAGGTAGGCTGTTTCCATTGACCCCTCCATGCTACGCTACGGCATGGTGGCATTCGAGAGCCCGTCGACATTCCATCACAATGCCATCTCCCCAGCGCTGGTGAATCAATTGCTAACACTACCCTCTCTCCAGATCAGTCCGGTCGCATTAACTTCGAGCTCTTCGACGACGTCGTCCCCAAGACGGTCGAGAACTTCCGTGCCCTCTGCACCTTCGAGAAGGGCTTCGGCTACAAGGGCTCCAAGTTCCACCGAGTCATCCCCCAGTTCATGCTTCAGGGTGGTGACTTCACCCGTGGCAATGTGAGTGCCTCGCCTGCTCCTGCTACACCGCCACAAGCATCAGGAAAAGCAGTCCTCTAACACACAGCAGGGCACTGGCGGCAAGTCCATCTACGGCGAGAAGTTTGGTGATGAAAACTTCAAGTTGAAGCACACCAAGCCATTCCTCCTCTCCATGGCCAACGCCGGCCCCAACACGTAAGTGGCCGTCGACCCACCCCTAGCGACGACTCCATCTGACATGACTCGCAGCAACGGCTCTCAGTTCTTCATCACCACCGTCGTCACCTCATGGCTCGACGGCAAGCACGTCGTGTTCGGCCAGGTACCCGAGGGCGACATCGAGTCAATGCGCGTCGTCAAGTCGATTGAGGCTTGCGGCACGAAATCCGGCGGCATCAAGTATAAGAACCCGCCAGCCATTGCTGAATGTGGTCAGGCGTAGAATTGCGCAAGAAATGCACCGTGGATAAACTTAGGGGATGAAGGGAATGGTCTTGTGGGTTCAATCGATTGCTTCAGCTTGGCTGTGGGAGCATTCAACTACGACCAAAAAAGTTACTAGGACTCCCAACCAGTAGCAATGAAAGACAACTCTGAACTACTGAAACAGCATGTTTTCCACGGCTTCCGTGATGAACATGCCGGTGATACATTGACATCTGCCCTTGCATCTCGGAATGGAACGAGCAAATTTTCGCGAGCAGGGAGGGGAGGGGGAGGGGCAGAGCTTCACCCCACCTTGTCAGCTCAACAACCCCGCACTATCCGAAAGCAGCCCTCACCAGGCCGAGACCACCCGCTCCGACGCCTTCTTCCGTTGAGCCAGCCTGGATTGGGAGACGCGTACAGGCACGGCGTTGATGGCGTGCGAAGGCTACCTAGCTAGCTTCCGAGATCGCAACTACAGGGCGTGAATGTCAATATCGATAGTGTTTAGTAGAGGCATGACTCCGATCGCCAGCCTCTCTCTTGTTGGATTTCAAGTCCTTTACGTCTCCTCTTTCAATGATTTGTTCTTGGGTTTTTGTCTCTGTTCCTAGACAGTATGCGATAGATGTTTAGTATTTCTGTCTTCGTTCAATCCCGTCATTCTTGTCCGTATCAAGAGCTACTCCATCCTCTTCTCAATTCCTTACGCCATCCTTCTACTTCCTCCTCTCAAGAACTCGCACTAGCATATCAACCCTCCCCAAACCCTACCCACTATCTCTCTCCCCTTCAAGACCTCCAAAATGCCCTACTCCCTCGCAACCTTGGCCATCCATGCCGACGACCGCACCAACATCCTCACCGACGTCGCGCCTGCAATCCACACCTCTACTACCTTCCGCTACCCCCGCAACCCCTCCGCCCTCCAGCCCGTCCCGTCCTCCGGTGTCGAGGAAGTCGGTCTCCAAACCCCGCTTGTCTACTCCCGCCTTGCATCCTCCAACATAAACCGCCTCGAAACGATCCTCACGCCACTCCTATACCCGGGTACACCAGATGAAGAATTAGAGCGCTTGAGTAACCAAGTAGTTAGCTATAGCAGTGGTCTTAGTGCATTCCACGCCCTACTCGTTAGTGTTGTACCTAAAGTCGTCGCGATTGGCGATGGCTACCACGGCTGTCACGGCATCATTGATCTGCACAAGAAAATGCACAATCTACGTACCGTGGACATCCACGCCGATGAGGCTGCCTGGGATGCTGCAGGCCTTGGGGACGGCGACATCGTGCATCTGGAAACGCCACTCAATCCTACAGGGGAGGCATACGAGATCCAGAAATTCGCGGAGCGTGCGCATAAGAGGGGCGCCATATTGTGTGTGGATGCAACGTTTGCGCCACCGGGGTTGCAAGATCCGTTTCAGTGGGGCGCAGATGTGGTCATGCATTCTGGGACGAAATATATCGGCGGTCATAGCGATTTACTGTGTGGTATCCTAGCTACTGCTACTGACCCTGCTGGTCGAGAACGCGCAAGAGTTCTGCGGCTCGAACGGGTTTTTCTGGGGAGTGTGTTGGGGAGTTTAGAAGGTTGGCTTGGGGTGAGGAGTTTAAGGACGCTGGAACTGCGCGTCCGGCGACAGTCAGACAATGCCACGAATTTGGTGCATTGGTTGCATGGTCTGCTCACTGGCCAAGGAGACAGCGACAAGTCTTCCGTCGAAATTGTACAGAGGACGATTAAGAAGATTACACATGCTTCGCTGCAGCCACCAAAAGATCAGCTCTGGCTAAAGAAACAGATGCCAAACGGCTATGGCCCCGTCTTCTCCATCTACACACAAACCCCTGCACAAGCCCGTTCTCTCCCCTCAGCCCTCAAGCTCTTCCACCATGCAACCAGCCTAGGTGGTGTAGAGAGCTTGATTGAGTGGCGGAGGATGAGTGATAGTGGCGTTGACGAACGGTTGTTGCGGGTTAGTATCGGGGTGGAAAATTGGGAGGATCTGAGGGATGATTTGCTGGAGGGGCTTGGGCGGGTGGCTGCGGGAGAAGCAGTGGAGGTGGCGGAAAAGGAGAATGGAGTACAAGTTGGGGGTGGAGGTGTGGATGTCTCCGCGGGTCAAGAGGGCGCCGTGGGGGTTAGGGATGCGGATGGGGCTGTTTGAGGCATTGGGGTGTTCTGTAAATGTATGCGAAGAGGAGGGACATGAATACGGAAGAGGTAATTGGTGGGTATTTAATGGAGGGTCTACATCTTGACGCTGCAAAGCTAAGACCCCTTGTTTGCTGGGCTGATTTGAATGCAACCGCATACTCACCATCATAGTAGGCATGGTGTTTAATTGAACGTAACTGTTACTGTCAGTAGTGCTTTAAGGCGTTGCTGGCAGCAATAGAGTTGCGATCTTACATAGAGAGTGAATTAAAACAGCCTTACATGCAGTAACAGTTACTGCTAAGCCAATTAATCATAAAGCTACTGTTCAGTGCAGTTACTGCAGTAACCAGTGTTTCTAGAGGCTCCAGAGGGGCTAGTCGCAGAGATCATTCAACTCCAAGTCAACAAGTCCTCTAGCAATCTAGTTGTGTTGTAGCTGCAGAGCCTCAATTAAAGCACCTCTCACACTCACAGGTTGTAGCAGGGATAGATAAGAAGTTATAAGCTATCTTATACAGCGTCAGATAGTGCTTACACCTAATTTAATGCCACTAAGTGGGTAGATCTCCATAGATTATATCGTCTTCAGCTGCAACGAGGAGATCAGACTGCGCAGAATTAATGTACTGCTGCGGCTTATTTGCTAGGCGTGCCTCCTGTTCCACCGCAGCACTTGTACTACTACGTTTGAAAACGTCCTCCGCGAACGCGTTACTAAACCACTAAGAAATTAATTAGTATAGGCACTTACTGCAGTAATTATAGCCTTATTAACTGTACAGTAATGGAAGGCAATTTACTTTGGTTCTAACTGCTAAGAGATTGCTACTATTAGTAACAATAGAGACAGTATTACGTTCTATTAAACACTGTGATGGTAGGCAGTCTACAACGACATATGACATGCTATATCGCATTCCTCCTGCGTTCTTGATCATGCCGAAGGGGATATGTTATTCCAAAAGCAAATTTATTTCTGACCAAACAAAACGTACACGGCATTAGAAGGAGACAAACAGCACCTAGAGCAGGCAGAATGCGGTTTATACTCTATGCGCTTGATTCATTTCGTATCCCTAACGAGTGTTCACGATATGGAATTGAGAACCTGCCCATAGCTATAATTCCTATTGATATCCTCCCGCCACTGTCTATACCTTGCTTACAGATCTACCATCACTCACGCCTTCGTCTTAGCGTCCTCCTTGATGATCTCCGCAGCGCCTTCGCCGATTCCATACGCCACCATCTGCGTGTGTCCATTGTTGACCGTAGGAATGGAAGACATATCCGCCACTCTTAGGTTCTTGACGCCCTTGACGTTGAGCCTCGAGTCTAGCACAGTATTCGGGTTATCCAGTTTCCCCATCGCACATGTTCCTGAAGCATGGTAGCCTATTCCCATCAGCATCTTCGATCCACACAAACCTCGCCGTGCAGAAGGGGAATACTTACAAGTGGTAGCCTGCTGCTTAACATACGGCTCCCAGTCCTCCCTCTTAGTAAACGCATGATGCGTCAAATCACTCGGCCAACTCCCCTTCACTACATCCCTCGTCGCTTTTCCTTTCATCACAATCTCATTGGCAAATCGGCACGCTTCCGTCATAACCAACATATCTAGCGGATCCGCGAGATAGTTATGATCGACAACAGGCAGTTCGAGTGGGTTTTTTGACCGCAATGTCACGCTCCCGCGGGAATGCTGGTTGAAGAGTAGCGTGCACAATGCGAACGCGTGTTTATGGTCTACTGGGAAATCAGTGAATTGCTTCGGCCCTCCGTATAGCTCCGTATTCCAGAACTCAATGTTGGGTTGGGACGGGGTGAGACCCATAGGGTCGCGGCCGGGGGCGCGAGGAGCATCGCGCCATAGGGGAACATCTTTGAGGCGTTCATCAAGGCGAGCAAAACCGAATATGCCGAAGGGGAAGGTGGAGAGAATGCCAGATTTCGTCTCCTGGTAGAGTTGGTAGGTTGAGGCGATGGCGTTGTCGTGGTAGGCCAGGTGGTCGTTTGTGAGACCGGGTTTGAGGACTTCGTAGAAGATGAAGCAGAGCTAAGTAGCGTTAGTCGTGATGTTTGGAATGGGGGAGGGGGTTGTTGGTGGGGGATCTTACCACATGGTCCATTAAATTTTTGCCAACCCCTGGGAGATCCACTTGGGTCTCGATTCCGTGTTTGGCAAGCTCATCCTTCGGCCCAAGGCCAGAGCGCATAAGGATTGCAGGACTGCAGTATGCGCCCGCACTGATGATGACTTCCTTCCGCGCTCGATACTCTGTCTGCGTTCCATCTTTGGAGATAGCAAGAACACCCGTTACTGTAAGATCGCTAGAGGACTTTGACAGAGTGACTTTATCAACTGTAACATCTGTCTTAATGGTAATGTTCTCTCGTCTATATCCCTTAGTAATAAAATCCGCTGCCGTTGATCGAATGCCCTTGTGGACTGTGCGGGGAACGTCTCCACAACCGTGCGGTGTCTCGCCGGTAGAAAACATATCTGGGTGGTAGGGGAGTCCTTGGTCCACCATTGAGTCTCTGACAAGCTCGGAGATAGGTGCGAGATCGTGGGGTTCAATGTGGAGAGGACCGGAGGAACCGTGGACACTAGGTTCGGCTTTAAACCAGTCTTTGCCGTGGAAGGTCTCCGACTGCTCCATATCAGTATCGAATGCAATCTTAAGGCCGAGAAAAAGGTAGGAGCATACCTTAGCCATATATCCAAACATCTTATCTCCTGTCCACTCTTTCAGCTCCCAATCATCATAATCTTGCTTTATCCCTCTAATACACAACGTCCCATTCACGCCACTGGAGCCTCCAAGGAAGCGACCTCGACTGCATTTCACTTGTCGTCCATCAACAGCTGTCATGGGCTCTGTGACAATATTCCAGTCAAGGTCAGAGTCAAAGTTCTTACTCCACCTACACACTGTGAGCTTCGTGAAAGATGAGGGTGGTAAGGGGATCTTACCCGCCCGCCATGTGGACATTCTCAAGGTCTGCATTGTCAGGGCCGGCTTCGAGGACGAGTACGGTTGCGTTGAGGTCTTCGGCCAGGCGACCGGCGATCACACAGCCTGACGTTCCTCCACTAAAGCCATTGTTAGCACAATGGTTCAGAATAATGTGGCTCGGAGAATGGGAAGTCTTCGTATTCGGCTCCAAGAGGAAACTTGGATTGACAGTTGCAAAAAGCACTAACATACCCACAGACAATGTAATCATACACCTCTTCAGATTCGATGTGTGTAGGTACCATGTTTGCAATATTCAAGACTCTCAACCGCAGCTTCCGAAGAGCTCAAGTCTCGCTATTTATTCACAAGGAATGTCGTATACGCTTCATCGGAACGACTCCGCCCCTCCTTTCCGCGGCACAGGTGGGATGTTTTCCGCATTTTTCCCAATCCGTTATTGGTTGCTCGAAAAGTTAAGAGTGATCAGCCAGGTCGCCGATGAGAAGGTTCAGGTCAGGGTCCTAATCTGTAGTCAGCCAGATGCGCTGTAAAATACGGCAGGGGCTGTTGCCCGATTTTTTGTGTAGAAACCTGCCTCCATCGAATGCGATGTTGGCCCCAAGCTTGCCTCCGCCATCCACCTGGGGTGGATTGCGGGGGGAAACCAATCAGGATAGCCCTTGAATCTGCACGCTTACTATATGGGGTTTGGGTGGAGGAAAGCCACCGATGGGAGGCCTCTTTGCTTCGTCTCCCGACTTCTATGCCGTCCAGGTATCTCCCAGTTCATTCCCGAATTGGAGATTGAACATGAAATCATGGTGGTGAGTTTCTGGCAGCTTCTTACGTGAGACTGAGGCTGCTGAGCAGGGATAGCGCCATCACGATTCCATCTCTTCTCCAAAGTCTATGTCCACTGTTCGGAGCGAAGGAGCGTTTCATGAGGCTCCAGCGAGGCTCAAACGCGTTGGAAAACGTCGTACGCAGTCACTCAGGCCACCAGGCACTAATTATTCGGAACAGGATCCGTCGCAGGGGTAGCTTCAGGAATAGCAACCGAATATCCTCAAGCCTCAATTCCGACTCCACCCACTTCCACCAGAGTCAAGCCGATCGAACGAGATAAATTTGTGTTTACTCTTCATCTTCACAAGTTTCATCCTCTCTCACTCCCAAGCCCTTTCCAAGAGATTCAGCCACCCCGGCTTCTATCACGGGCCTAGCGCCAAGCCCGCCCCCGAAACAAGCACGCCTCCAAATTGCCATCTTCCAAACCTCATCTGCGCCATCAGTCGAGCATCAAACTAATGCCACCAACCACTTCCCAGCGCTTCGCGAAGTCGGGTCTGATGAAAAACGGTAAGCCTTCGGAAAGTATCCACGGAAATATCTTGGCTGTTTAGCCTTTGTGAACCAATGTTTGATCTCCAATAATGGATATGGAGTTGCCAGGATGGGGTGATGCAGTCGTCCTGATGTACATCTCTTCTCCACCTCTCATCACTGTCTTCTCTACCTCCATCTCTTGTCCTTTCGTTGTCGTTGTCCGTGTCGTGTTGATTTTTTCGTGCATCTTCGGCCGGTCCGCAATTCACTTCTTGTCCCATAATTTCTACTGCTAGCCACAAGCTCTTTTCATCATGTATATATTGCCCTTGGTTTCTCTCTTTGCGGTTGCACTCGCTTTCCCCCAGAGGCGGAAGGGGAATGGAGGGGGCGCCCAGAGGGCTACGGCCCAGCAACAAGCAGCACAGATTCCTGGAGGAATTTCCAAGGCCACAGATGGCTCAACTATTGTTGATGACACCGTCAACGTGAAGTATGAAGTTTGTATGATCCATGTACCTACCTCATCTAACACTATCAAGTGGTCTCCCAATCCGCTTCAAGGTCTCCGCCCCAGCAGACCAATTCCTCACAACAACCGGTGTAACCGGCGCTGCCGCAACTTCCCCCAACGGTACCATGGGCGTCAATGTCCTCCTCCACGGTGACGGCGGACAATCCTTCTTCGACTTCCCCAACCAGGCTGTGCAAGCCAACACAATGGGTGTCGCCCTCCTCGCCCCAGACCCAAACCTCTTCTGGGGCGGCGGATCCGGCCTTCAACGCACAGACGGCGTCGCCCACGCCCAAGCCGTCAACGACTTTGTCCAGCAGATGCTCCCGCAAATGGTTGCCTTTGACAACAGCAAGGTCTTCTTCACAGGCGTGTCCGGCGGTTCGCTCTTGATGTCCGGATTCTTCATCCCCGCTCAAATGCAGAACTTCGCAAACTCTGGTGTGATGTTAAATTGCGGGGGTATGCCGCCTCAAGTCAATGTTGTGGACCCTGCTGCGGTAGCCAACACTACAATTCATTTCCAATCAACCCAGAGCGAATTGAAGTTGTTGCAGGGCAGTATCCCACAGGCTGTGACCGCGTATGAGCAAATTGCGTCTCAGCAAGGCCTCAACACCGACCAAATCAATGCCCTGCAAACCGTCGACAACAGCCCCACAGGAGGACACTGCGAATTTGACGGCAAGGATTTCGTCTCTGGTGTACAGGTCATGGCGAATGCTTATTCAAATGTGATCCAGGCTGGCGGTGATGGCAATGTGCAAGGCCTTGGTGCTCCGAGCAACGGGCAAGTGAAGACAGGTGTAGTTGGAAATGAGCAGTTGAAGTTTGTTGGCGGGCAGAAGAGATGGGTTGTTCCGAGTGACAAGAGATGGGTGGTGCCGAACGACAAGTGGGTTGTCCCCAGTGATAAGTGGGTTGTCCCGAATGACAAGTGGGTTGTTCCAAATGATAAGTGGGTTGTGCCAAACGATAAATGGGTGGTACCAAGCGATAAATGGGTTGTTACTGAAGACCCTTGAATGAGAGGTTGTAAGGTTAGGGTAGATTGAGCGATATGACAGAGGTGGGGGCGGGAGAGATGATAAACGCAGGATTACTATCTCCACGAACCACGAATGCAATGAATATTGATCAGATACAAGGACAAGGGCCATCTGCAACGTCCTCGGTCTTTTCTTGACTATTCATTGATCTTACTTGCAGATTTTAAGAACGCTGTGCTTGTCTAACTTTGAGTTGTTCACTGAATAATCATCCATGGAAAACCTAGTTTTCTGGTTTTGTGACGGATCTTCCATTGCTATCTAGGCGCAATGAGGACTTCGACCCTCCACCCCATCAATGCATTTCGCCGTTTCCGATGGACCCAGAAATGTGGAAGAAGAGCAAGAAAATAAACATCTCACATCACGACGCCCGAGTTGCTGGCAATACGCTGCGGAAGATGATTAGCGCATTAACTATCACAAGGACATGGTAGAACATACTGGCCACAGCTCAGCTGCTTCCTTTCCGACCGGTCCAGTGATAGCAGAGCCCTTCATTTCACCCTTAGGGTTAACAATCTGCATGTCCGCGTTAGCTAAAGTTGTCAAATTGTCTAATCGCCCTTCCAGCACTCCGCGCCTCCTTCGTTCGTAGTTGGTGAATAATTGACTCACCACACCAGCATTGTCCTCAAAGTATAGGTATACGCCATCAGCCCTCCTCCACGGCTTGCTCTGTCGCACAACGACCGCGGGCATGACCTTCTTCCTGAGCTCAGGCTTTCCCTTCTTCACGGTTGCCATGACCATATCGCCGACGCCGGCAGCGGGAAGACGATTCAGACGCGCGCCGATGCCCTTGACCGAAATGATGTAGAGATTGCGGGCGCCGGAGTTGTCACAGCAGTTCATGACGGCTCCGCTGTTTACCAATTAGCCAAAGTCCTTGTCTTTCCCACACTCTCTGTAGCGCTTTCGAACGCAGAGTATTGACGCGAGGGCGAAAATCGAATGGTTTCGAACGTACACAGGCAGACCGAGCGTCATCTTCAGCTTGTTGCCGGAGGCACCACCTCGACTATTTCAAAGTATTAGCACATGTCCCACAACCTCGTGTAAAGTCTTGTAGTTTTTTAGAAGCTTAGTCGACGTACCCTCGCTTGGACATTGTGACTGATTAGTTCGCGGGAAGTTCGTGGGTGGTAAAGGGTGCGTAGTCGCAGTTGTCGTGGGCGGGACGAAGTTCGAAAATGGATGCCAAATTGGCGTTGTGGGCCGGGGTTTCGCTTGAATAAAATTCCGGAATGTGCTAGGCTTAGTTAGGAGTAGCGCAGAGGTGATTCGCGAATATCCCAGAGCCAGTTACCATCAACATCAATCCATCAATGCCCAGTTGAGGAAACCTTCATTTGCCCATCTGCACCTAGGTTAGCTCAAAGAGACTTTTTAGTTGCTCTCTATACCTGTTCATCTGTATCAATGAATCCCGCATCCGTGATACTACTACTTTCGTCAACCACCATCGACTTCCCTTATCATACTTTGGGATATGTCGACGAACAAGAGTCTACACGTCTGTGTCCTCTGTAGGACGCGTAATTCGCATCTTTTGGGCGGGCGATCGCAATAGAAGCCGTTTCTGCCAAGGATTCTAGCCCCTACTCATCATGCTTGAAATTCTGGCGCCTTCTACAATCCTTTTCCTCCTCGTGCTTCATTAGTATTTGTGAAATTGGTAGTACAACTGACTCAGTCCGAAATTCAGAAGAGTTGTGCTTCAGTATGTCATTCCAGTTTTACTTCCTCGGCCTGATCAAATAGTAGCCGCGCCTTTTACATACAGTCCGTGCCTTAGCAGACTGCTTGCTTTCTCGGCCCCTCCTTCCGAAAGGGTCTGCTTAACAACCGAGTGGGAGGTCTCGATCGACGGCAAGGGTGAATATGAAAGGAAGTGAACTAAGCAACGCCAAGATCAGAGTCCAATCCCCTGTATCCAATCCAACCTTCTGCAACCACACCACCTCCTTCCGGCCTCGAACCCGGTTCCTCTCTTCCATTCACATTCACTGTCTCCAGTGTTGTATGACAGCCATTCTCTGCAATGAAGTTCAAGTTTCCCGTCCACCTCCTCCTCATGAAGCTCATCCCAGCTAGTGTTGCTGTTCACCAGGTCAAGAACTATCACGTCAGCACCTTAGCTGAGGCCTCCCCCGTATTAAGTTTCGCTGGGCCCTCCGCAATCAAAGTGCCATTCACCTCTTACATAGATCAGAAGAGGATCTTTGATAGGCCAGGGAATAGTGCAACTCCCAGTGAAGCTTCATCTAGCACTCAACTTGTACCGTCCGAGCAAACCACATCTTCTACCAGCAAACCAAACGTCATCCCCTTCGCCGACCTTAACAAGCGGTACCAACAGTATATATCTGGAACCCTTGCCAACTCCTCTCGAAAATGCTCTGCTAAAAATGTTCGGCACCGTCGCTCATGGTGTGTACTCCTCAGCTATCCCGTTTCATTATATGGTGCTAAAATGACCCCAGGGCCAAGCTTAGTGATGACGATCGCAAGTCTTACCTCAATTCAGTTCACTGCTTGCATAATGGCATTAGCAGCAAGTTCACTCAGGTTCCTGGTGCTAAGTTCCGCGCGGACGATTTGACAACGCATCATATTATATCAGGTGGCATATACGTGTTCACTGGATTCATGCTTCCATTCCACCGCTGGATGATCCAGGTCTACGAGGACATGCTCCGGGACGAATGCGACTACAAAGGTGCCATCCCGTTCTGGGATTTCAGTGAACACACTGGTGACATTACTAAAGACCCGATCTTCTCCGGCAATTCCACATCAATGGGGGGCAATGGTGCTCCAGTACCACGAGGTCATGGGTGGGTTGAGTTGGACTACTTGAGCGGGAAAAAATCCGTGCCACCCGGGTCAGGCGGGAGTTGTTTGTTCAACCCGCCCTTCCGGACAATAACAGTATGTTGCCTTCACTCTCATATTTGCTTTGCGCAGCGCTAATTTGGCTTCTGGCTCGCCTTGGTTACCCCTTGACTTACGATTTAGATACTAACAAAACCACCCTGTACCCCCTCCCCAAGTACGAGGGCGGAGTGACCTCTTGGGATGCGATTAGTTTCCGAGATCGTTGTCTCACTCGAGATCTCAACACTTGGGCTGGTCAGCTTCTTAACATTGCCCACGTGGAATATGACCTCTCCTGCACTAACATCGGCTGCCTCCAGGAGCGACTAAACGGGGCACAGCCAGGGTATCCCTACCTACTCAACTTGATGAATTCGGTTCGATTCTCTGTCGGAGGACTCCAACTTGATCCATTCGCTGCTCCTACCGATCCAATCTACTACCTCGCGGCCGCCAACATCGATCGTCTGTGGGCCATTTGGCAGGCCCAGGAACCCAATGTGAGGGTCAATCAGACAGGAGGAACCCACAGACCAATGGGCATGGGAGGGGCGGTTAAGCCATCGGACATTATGATCATGTTAACACCAGGAACCCTTCGTCCTGTTAGTGATTTCAGCTCTACGATAGATGGCACATTGTGCTACTGCTATGAGTAGAGTCTGTCAGTTTCGCCTTCTTTCTCTTTAACACACATTTAGCATAGTCGAGGTCTGCGATCTCCAAAATCATTTCAAGTACGTGGCTCTCATTGGACGTCAAATTGATGTCGTCATGCCGAAATCCCTCACTTGGGCTCAACCAGCATGATAAGTGACATACCAGTTCTTCCAGTGTGTGCTCAACTCAGTAATATGTGATCAAATGCCCCCGAAAAAAAGGAAACTTCCGTCTCATTCTTTAAATGCACAGTCATTAACGTAGAACCCTGGAATGCAAAAGGGACTGTCGAAATTCTGCATGACTGAATCACCAAGGATCACTTCTCATACTCTGAGCCGCCGAGCTTGCCTTCCACCGTCACTAAAGCTCCCGAGCCTACCCGGACCTGCCCGAGGCCTTACCTCACCGCCAAAAGCCGCTGTTGACTGTTGCCTAGCCATATCCCCGGATCCACAAGCCCCTCGTCACATGCCTCCTGGCTCAAGCACCTCCCTCTGATAATCCCCCCTTCGCCGCATCAGTTTCTGTTTCTTTTTCTTCTTTCTTGTCTGAGTGCAAGTTTGTCTCCACCACCCCCAGAGTTGAGAAGCATCTGCTAACACGTTCATAGGGGCTTTAAGCGTGCCGGTGAGGATTTGTCCGAGACCGCCTGCTTGCTAGTTGAAAACTACAGCTATGACTGCTTCAGTTGGCCTTCGGGTTGGTTGGGAATCTTTATAACTATAATAAATCTGCCTGGGTGCAACTCAATGCTTTTTCATTTCTTTTCATTGTAGCTTACGCCTCTGGCTGTGAAGGCAAGGAAGAGACATCTTGAGACAGAGGGTGAGGCAGGGATTGCACTAAGTGTTCTCTCTGTCTTGGTCACTTCCCACGTCATCGCGGTGCTTTGGGAGTCATTGTGTGTCCACTGTGCAGCGTTATTGGTCTTTTTTCTTGAGGCAGGCCCGACCGCGACGCAGGAGCTACGTGGGAGTGGGCGTAAGCGTCGCGTAAAGCTGCGACGGACTAGAGCCGCTCAATTAAGGAGATATCATATAGTCAGTAGATGCATTTACTTCTGTGTTCAACGCTCTCTTCCCCTTTTCGGTGCCTTCCTTGCGCAGGTAGAGACGGCCGCCAGAACCTCAAATACCTTGGCCAAGCACCATGAAGGTGGCAACAACGAGACGGCACCACCGCATCTTCTTTGAAAACTTGTTTCCATGGAATCTTGGTTGGGTCGTGTAGGTATGACCACGCTCGTTTGGAGATGACGCAACGTTCACTTTCCGGGCTACTGCGTATCAAGTCGACGTCGGCGGCCACGACTAAAGGGGAGGCCCGCAAAGCAAAGTGCAATGGCAACCCCCTCTACTATTTTGATACAATGACATCCTTATGACCAGACAGCATCGCCTTGTGCAATCGATGCCCCCATGAGAGGACTGAGGTCCTCCAATACCTCCTCGGATTGCCTTTCCACCGCGCCTCCCCGAACCACGCCCTTCGCAGACTCTACATATACGTGCGCATATCCTTCCTCTTTTAGTGAATTCTTGCATTCTGAGCCGACTGCATCATATGTTAGTCTATCATTGTGCTAGTTCCTTCCAAGCACATGATTCGACAAGAATTCTAGGGATTGCGGTTCCACAGAGACCCCCTTCTTCTCATAAAAGCAAAAGACCAGATAGAGCAGGAGGAATGGAAGGGAAACTTCTGGTATTGAGTTGGAGTATACTTAAGATTGCGTTGAGCAAGATATCAGCAGCAGTACTACAGGCTTAGAGTATGGGAGATGATAATAGAAGAGAGGTTAAGGTGAGCCACTTCTAGACTCAGACATAAAATGTGTGGACTCTCTAATGATGATTTTAGTGGACCTAATTCAGGTTCTCAAGTTTGTAGCACTAAAATTCCGCTGTTACCGCTTTCGTCTCCCGCATTGGAAGAATGACCCGAGACCTAATCCTATCAAGCCCCTCAGGTATGGTGGCTAATCAGTAATGTCTGATGTTGCTCAGAAATACAATTCGGCAGAGCGTTCAGAAGGACCAAGGCACAGGCGCAAAATACCACTACAAACATCATGACTTTTGTTTTGCTACCCACATCACTGAATTGCGGGTTTCACCCTCGAATATTTGCCATCGCTCCGAAGAACAATAATCGTTTCGCTGTTCGCGGTTCCTTCGACCGAGAATTGAGTTTCGAGAGGAAAGTGCAAAACTGTCGACGAGGACATACAATATTATAAGAAACAGCCCGAACATAGGGTAGGGGAAGCACTGGCAATACTTGTTTTCTACGACAAAGAAAGAAAGACTATCAATCGCTTCCTTCCACAATAGTGTCTCCCCCTTTCAACTCACGAAGACCATGCATCGCGACATTTACCCAGCCGTCGACCTAAAATCTCCATCTCTGAGCGCATCAGGGAAAGTTGTTTCAATCGTTGGTGCTGCCGGATGTCTTGGTTATATATGTGCTCCTCCGCCACTTTCCGCCTTCTGCTGCGACACTTCGGAGAGATGGATCTAGGCTATTGCAAAGGCTCGGTCTGCTGCTAGTGCCAAAAACATCATTCCCGTCGGTCGTAACTCAAAAAAGCTCCATGAAATGGCAACTGAGCTTGCCGTCCCCAACCTTGCTACTCGGGGAGATATCACCTCGAAGTCCGATGTTGTATCCATATTCTTCTAACGGTGCTGCAGCATTCACTGTTCCCGGTTTCTCTCCTCATGGCTCTGCATAGCTTACCGTGATCAGGTTCAGTGCAAAAGCAGACCTAGGTGAGTCGCTTGTGCCCCTCAATACATAGTATCACAAGGCCCTAATCTGATCATAGAATGTCCAAATCTCTGGTACTTTTCTATCCACCCGGGTATAGTTGAAGCCGAGAATGGGCGAGGTTTCACTGTCCATATGTTCACTCCCTTCGCTAAAGATAAAGCTGCTCTCACTGGGGGCGTAACCCTCTGGCTTCAGAAACCGGAAGCCAACTTCTTGCGTGGTGGTTACATAAGTGTTAATTAGGATTTTGACGAGATGCAGAAACATAAGGAGGATATTGTGGAAGGAAAGTTGGTAAAGGTGGGGGTTGTGGGGGCGTAGGTGAGGACATCCTTAGGCAAAGTAAGCAGTTGATAGACTGGGAATTTCATACAATCTCTTGGCTTGATTTATATGTAGCAATCAATTCTACGTACTGTATGGTTTGGTTTGAGGTTTGGATCATGTGCTTCTGGGGATGACTGTCACCGCAAAATCCTCCAGTTTGTGCGGTCAATCACGCTCAAACAACAAAAACGAAGATGAGACAACAGTCACCCCTCCCTGCTTTACCCGACGCTCTACCTCTTCACCTAAAGAAACTTCATATGAATTAATGGCCTATATAAACCAAATATTTTCGAGTTTCATTTGTACCGTGCGACCATTTGTCAATCCCATTTCTTACCTTTTACCAGAAGTGGCAGATGTTGGCGCGCAAAACGGTACTATATTAAATCTTTGGAAATATCATGTATTCAATCCGTACCTTTTGCTTTTTTGTTGTTCTTTTTTATTTCTCTTTTCATCGCTCTTTTTATGACTCTTTTCAGGTTTTTATTGGTTGTGATTTCTAGTGTTTATATGTTTAAAGATGATATTTTGCACTATTAGGGAAGATGATTAACAGTACCTCGTCTAATAGATTGAACATGCACTTCGGTAGAAGGGTCGAATGTCCCGTGTGCAAGTCCCCGAAAGCTATCTATTCTAACGAACACGTAGGACATGTAAAAACATCGTTGCAGCCGTTTACAAAACCACTATTCCGAAATCGGCTCTCAATTAAACAATCTCAGAACATCAAGGAAAGGATCGTTTGTAAACCAACTCTCCGACGTCTAAACCACACCCCACTCTTCATCCTACCTAGATAGCCGGGCTTGACATCCCATATCCCCACGCTCAGCTTAAGCCATTCCAGTAAGTGGACCTGCCGCTTGATGTGTTAACGTTAGGCAACCCCAGCTGATATAGATGGGATTCATCTTCTGGAGAATGCAATCGTTCTACCGAAACCTTGAGCAATGTCATCTGAGTGAGTTTATTGAACGACGACATATCATTACTTCAGAGGTATTCGAACGAGATTTGTATATGAGCCATATAGGTAGAACTAGATTCAGCGCCTGTAATTTCTGTACTGAAGGGAGTGCTTTAACTAGACGGGCGAAACTCTCTCAGCAATTGAACCCGTGGTCACGGGAGCTCTTGGACGTAATCAGGCTTCGAAAATCTTAAATAGGCAGTTTGGAAATCGTCCCCCAATGCTCTTACCATGGATTGTGACCTTCAGAATAGAACCGAATGGTAATCAGCGCATCGTTGAACGCCTTTGCAACCAGTTTCCCGTGGATATCAGAGAATCAGATCTCATTCTCGCCGTAGAATACCTTAGCAGCTTCGCCATTGGCGGGATTGTAAGTTCGTATTAAGGCTATGGCAGGGAGCTGCTCCTTCATCTAGTTCCCGAGTTGCGAGTGGCTGGCTGCTCTGACTATCTAGTCATGTTCAATATTCCCTGTTTTATCCCATAGAGCGATAGGCTCAGGAATTGCAAGGACGAGGCAAAATATTTTGACTGGAAGCTCGGTTGGGAGATTAAAGAATCGAAATGGTGTCTCGGTCTAGAAGTGTTTCTTAGTTCATATACTCCGCGATGTTCTCGAGCATGGTGACTTACAAAATCCCGGGCATCCTTCTTCTGGCCGTAGAGTTTATAGAGCTGCTGGCAGGGGCGGAGTTCTCGGTGTATAGGATATGGGGTTTTGATAGGTGCGATTCAGGAGCTTGACCATTGCCGCCACCTCCCGGCCCGAGGCCGCATTTTTTGCTAGGCGCAGCTCTTGTGGCGGGAGAAGTTCATGTTGCTCTCCTTCATGAGGGAGGAAGGTTTTTACTTACTCCAAAGCCATCTCATCTCCGTACACACGGGTTATAGCTATAGTGTTGCAGGAGGGGGACGTCTGCGGAGGAAACTTTTATAGGCCTCCAGACACTGCAATAGGGCCATGGAATTCCCGTAACTGGGATGACCTCTCGTCATTTAGCAATCTTTTGCTGGAAACCTCTCGGTTATCTCTCCTGCATCTGGACTCGATGACATAGCGTTTATATTTAGATCCTTTCACCATATGACTATATGAATTTCCAATAGGTCTTTACGTAGTCGCAGACATAACCAGCGTTCCCAACCGTACGTACTACGACTCGTAGATACGTGAACGTAGCAGTCACGTGAGCCGTTGAAACGTAGGAGGAGTGTGAGCTGTAACGTACGTAGGAGCCAGCTCCCATTACAGACTGTAATACGTCTTAGAGAGACAATATTTCCTAGTAATATAAGGTCTTATTAGATAGCTATAAAGACGCGTTAGAAGAGTGTTTAAAGTTATATTTTTAGAGTAATAATTAAGTAAAAACTCTGCAGTTTGTACAACAATTAAGGAGCTAGCAGAGAAGGGGATTAAGGCGTAGAATTCTATAATTTTAGTTAAGAATTATAATTACTTATAGACTTACTTATTATAAGCTAGATATCCTAGTTCCTTTAGTGTAGCAGGTGTATAGCCTTATTCTAAGGATTTTTTTAAGCTAGCTTTTTTTACTAAACTAGAGTTGCTTATTACACTAGTTCTTATTAACTTGCCTAATTAAGGTCTTTGTTATTAGAGTCCTTAGTTTTCTTTTATAATAGTACGCTATCTAATAGTCTTTTAGCCCTTATAAAGGAGTACCTAGACAACCTTACTCTTAATAATAAAGTATTATTTACTATTAAGTAGGACAATATCTAGATAAGAAATAAAAAGTTAAGGCTAAAAAAGCTTAGATACTAAGTAAAGCATAAAAGCTAATTATATAGTAATTATTAGTTATTCTAGATATAGCTTTATAAAGCTAATTTAGTGTATAACAACAAAAAAGACGCCTTTAGGATAAAGTTATAGCTCTGTAAAAGGTGCTACGCTAAGGGTAATTACAAAGAGGTAAAGAAAGTTAATAGTTACACTTATATTATCTACTACCTTAAAAAAGAGCACTAGATAGATGTTAGTAAAAAAAGTAAAAGCGCTCTTTTACTTAATAGGCTAAGAATTCTTTTAAGTCTATTTAAAGCAGCTTATAAAGTTATAGGCTTGTTGTTGAATAGGCTCTGACAGCTAGCTGCTTATAGTATGAGCACTTAAGTAGCAAGAGTAAGAGTGGTGTACAGTGTGCACAGCATATAAGGTAAGTAAGGTAAGGGCAATATATTTTTAGTTCTATTACTCTTGTCTTTCCTCTATATAGAGAAAAAGGGGGATATCTAAATGTTTGCGCATAGAGGTTTGCGCATAAGCATTATGTAACATAGATATGTGATCCTGCTTATGCGCAATTATTTATATCTAGACTATAACGCTGCTGCTGTGTATAGACACTAGTAACTTTTCTTTTTATCTAAAAAGTTACTTTTTATACATGTTACTTCTCTTTTATTTGTGTAGGTCTATCTAATTACATTTTACTTTTACTTTACTTTATTTATTAAAACTTGCCTTAGTAATGCTATATATTAAAATAAGCTAGTTACACTATGTAAATAGCTTTATAAATAGTGTAAAGTGTTTTAGGCTATTATTATTTAGCCTTTATGCGCTTGCCTTGTAAGTAATTTAGTAGTGTATAAACTATTTTATGTAAGGTTTTATGCTAGAATAGTGTAGAATCTTTGCGTAGGCAGGTGTGTAAAAAGGTGTATATAATAAAGTCTTTTTTTTTTCTTTACTTTCTTTTCTTTATTCTTTGCTTTTTAAGCTTTACTATACTATTCCCTAGCTCTTTTTTTTTTTTATATAGTGCTAACAGTAACAGATACTCCTGCCTGCACACACACACACACACACACACACACACACACACACACACATATATATAGAGAGAGAGAGAGAGAGATGTCTCTCTAGCCTTTCTTCTCTACCTTTAGCGCTGTTAGTGCAGGCGTTTTTAACGTCCTTGTGCAGTCTAGCAGCCTAGGGCGTATTTATATTACTTTTTTAACTAGTTTTACTACTAATTAGTAGTTTATTTAGTGTTTTAGCATAAATATATAAATTCTTTAGCTTTTTTACTTCCTTTTTATATAAAATGCTAATTATAGATAAGCTAAAAAGTAGCATGTAGTAGCTTTACTATTTTATAATATTAATATTATCTTGCCTACTAGCACTAATCTGCAGCTGTAAGCAGTAAAGGTTGTGTGTTATAAAAAGTACTTTTATGTAGTTTTAGTCTAAAGTTATAGTTAGGTCTTAGCAACTTTATGTGCTTATTATTATAGTAGCACTACTAGTGCTTTTTTTTTTATTAAGTGTTATATGTTAGCTAACTTCTAGGCTAATGCCTACGCCTTATGTGTATAGTAGAGCTGTGGTCTGCATTATAACTACTATATATAAGGGGTGGTGGCTTTTTCTTTTTTTATATACTAGATAAATAGACTATCTTTTTTATATATCCTTCTTTTCTAATCTTATAATAAGAAAAATAAGTGCGTATAATAAAAAAAATAAAAAATATAAGCTTTATATAAAGGTGTTATTAGTCTAGTTAGTTTAAGGCATCTTTGCGCACAGGATCTAGCTAGTCCACAGATGCTTCTATCTAGACAGAGAGGTAGTTAGTTAAGACTAATAATTAAAAAGCCTAGTTTAGTGTTTTCTTTATATATACATTTACTAAGTTATTTTTACTATTAATTTACTTTATCTTAGTAATTTTTCTTTTTTTATATAATTTATAGAGTAACATAATGTTAATTATAAATTACTTTTTACTAGTAGTGCCTAGCTTAATAAGGTAATTATATAAAAACCTTAAATTTATATAAATTACTACTAGAATTAGTAGTAGTTTAAGTGTTTATATAATTTACTATAAAGTTGTACTAAAAGTAATTATATTATTAAACCTTCTAACTATTTTATATAGTTTACTAGTAAAAACACTCCTAGTTACTCTTTTACACTTAGTAGAATTTTAGTATATAATATTGCCTAGTATTTTAAAGTAGTTGCTTTACTTTATATAGTTCTTATTACTTAATATAATTAAGAATTCTAGCTATAAGCTAAAGTTTTTATTATTAGTAAATAATTTATTTATAAAGATAAACAGCTTTACATAATTAAGCTATAATAGTAGAAAAGTAAAACTATACTTACTATTATTTATCTACTATTAGATTTATGTGTTAAGTGTGTTAATATTATTATACAAAGGGTCTATAGTTTATGTAGTAATAAAAAGGTTAAATGCTACCTCTAGTTAATATATAAATGCAATGTATGCCTTTTTTACATATTACTTAACATATTATTATGCAGCATCTTTGTTTTTTAGGTTAATTATATAAAAGTAGCTTACTTATCTCTTCTAAGTAAAAACTACTATATTATGTGTAAGTTTAATTTTTTTGCTATTAAACTTAATAAGCTGCTTTTTTACTAAGATAGTTTTACCTTTTATATAAAACTTTACTTTTTATAGTTTTTTTTTTTTTTTACATAAAATTTTTTATTATAATGCTTAAAGTGTTATTTATTTATAAGCTAGTAATACTAAAGGTGTGCTCTTTTTTATTAGTAATTAAAAAGTAAGAGTTATATAAAGAGATATGCATGTGCAGCTTTTTTTTATAGTAGTTATAGTATGTCTTAAACTAATACAGTCCTAATTTAGTAGCTTTATATAAGGGTTATACAACCTAGAGTATTATATTTAGTAGAAAGCTTTAGCGCATTTTCTTTAGTAGCTTTATGTACAGCGTGCGCATAAGCTTATTTATTAATTAGATGTATACTTATGTAATATTACATAGTTTAAAATGCATTTTATATATAGCTCTTAGGCTTACTTTTATAGCTAAGAGTAGTCTCTAGCTTATCCTCTAGATAGTTAGTAACTAGATAAAGATTTCTCTCTTCTTTTTATCTAAGTAGCTAGTAAACACTAGGTAGGATTTCTTATATAGTTAAGTTGTTTTACCTTTTACTTTTTATATAAAGTAAAGGTTAAAAATCTAACTTTTATACTTTATTAAGTTATACACTATAACTTTAAAAGTGCTGTTAGTAATTAAAGTGTTTATCTCTATGTAGTCTAATTCCTTAAATAGTTTTTTAGGTGTAGTAATTACACTGTCTATATAAAGCTTAATAGATAAGGCCTAATTATCTTTTTTCTTCTAGGTTAGAAATACCTAGTCTAGACTTTATACAGGTTTTCTTTACTTTTTACTTCTTTTAGTATTTATATCTTCTCTTTGCACTAGTGCAGCATTACTATCTTAAGAGGCTTAGTCTGTAGTAGGCTCTAGTTCTGCCTTTATAATATTTTTATAAGGCTGTTTTTTTTTTCTTTTCTTTAGAAGATCTTTTTATATAGAGATTAGTTTATCTAGGTTATTTATTATAGGTAAGTTGTCTTTTTTTTTTCTTTATAGTATAGTTTAACCTGTGTATATTAGAGCTTTAGTAAGCTATTTTTTTTTAATAATAATATCTCTCTTTTTAATGCTCTTAATCTTATATAGGCTAGTCTAGCCTTTCTTTTTTCTCTATGCTATAATCTTTAAGCTAAGGGGGAAGTTAAGAACTTTATGCGTTATAAGGCTATTATAAGTGTTAATTATATAATTAATATTTACTTTTATATAGTCTTTTTAAAGTATCTTTATTACCTTTTATACAGCGCTTGCTTATGTAATAATGTTTAGTAATAGTAGAAAGTCTAAGTTAATTCTTAGGTATGCTCTAAAGACTAGCAGCGTAGGTACTAGACTGTGTAGGCTAGCTATGTTGTTTAGAGCTTTAACTACTATCTGCAAGATAGCTTTATTATTTGTACAGTTACCTAGCTTAGTCTTTAGGATGTTAAACACTTGTTAGAGAGGTGTATGTGCGCGCTTAACCTTTTTAACTGCTTAATGTGCTTTTATAGGCATTTGCTTACATGTAGCTTTTATAATTTTTATATAAGCTTAAAAATCTTTTAAAGTAAAGTTTATACTAAAGTTATGCATAATATAGTCTAAAGGTTCTTAATAGGTGTTAATCTAGCATTTGCATAGTACATCCTAGGTATCTTGTGCAGACATAGATTTTAGAAATATAGCAGCCTAAAATAATGTGTTTACATTAATAATATATAAGACATCTTTATTATTAATTTATATAATATTAATAATAACTTTATAGTTAAAGTAGGTGTTATTTTTAATTATAAACTTAAATTTTTATAGGGCCTAGTTATAT